GATGTGCTTCAGAAAGGGTATCAGGTATATCAGGTATATCAAATCATTTATGATAGAATAAGCAACATAGGTATAAATTACTCAGTTAGTTAGTTATTCAGTTAGTTTTGAAAATGGTGTAATAGCCGAAACCGGTCAACAATAAAGAAATATAGTGGAAAATAGACAAAAGTGTGTTTATGTAGTGTATCCTCAGTGATGTATCAACAGTCCTAAGTATATGTAAACTTCGACTTCTTTTAGTAAGTTGTTGTTTATATATAATTGTATTGTCCGATTTGGTTTGTTTTTGTGCTTCAGCACCATACATACAGTTTTTTCAACATTTAATACTAGCTAATTTATCAGTAGCCATTGATAGTATTTGTTGAGGTCATTATTCACTGTTCGTTCTAATGCTTCAAGACAGTTATTTGCATATACTAGTGCGGTATCATCAGCAAAGGTAAAGTATCTTGCATCCAAACCAGCCATTTTCAGTGAGTGGACACACAAAAGATACAGTATAGGTCGGAGAACTGATCACTGTGGCACACCAATATTCATATTATACTCATCACTTTGATCGTTTTTTAATTTTGTGTACAATTTTCTCTCTGTTAGGTACGTTTTTAGCAGTTTATAAGCAACACCTCTGAATCCCATATTGAACAATTTGTTCAAAAGGTTTCGGTAAATTTCCTTTTCAAGAAAAAAAACCGCCATATGAACTTGTCGATAGCATTTTGTCGGGTAAGCCAGATGTTCAACCAAGAAGTGAGTATGATAAAAACTATCTTCCCTTCCATGCCCCACTGGACATTGTCTATTAGGTTGGGTGGTGATACGAGGTTGAAATGTGTTTCTACAGAATTCCGTAATATTTAAAAGGAATGTTATAAAAAAGGATCATACCTTGACAGTCTTCAGCTCGTTGGTAAGTTCACTAACCAATTTTTCGTAGTTGGCTGTAATATCCTGAAAATGTCTGAAAATGAAATAAGTGAAACACTGTGCAAAATAATCGAAAATAATGAATCAAAATGTTGTACTCGGTCTTATATGCTGATTTCTCGCGTAGTATTATTCATTCATTCATTTGATCTCAATACGATTGACAATTATACGATTTTAACCCTATAACGAAAAAATCTCTGTAAACTGAAATCCATTGGGTAATGTAACGCAATAACATACTGCTTTTGATATATTTTATCATCTTCACATCGCACTACCGGTGAGCAGTTCTCCTGAAAAGTCTAGTTTCATTATTCGTAGTATTATTTTGTTTAAAATATACATTTTGGAGAGGTCATGAGTTCAAGCATGCCAAAGTGTTCGGTATATGTTCAAATCCTACTATTCAGTAGCCAGACTGTCTACATGGCAGCGAAACTATCTAATGCTGCACTGAAAATGAATTGTTTGAGAAAAATCTTGAATTTTGAGTTGAGATGAAAATGGAATAAGATAATGAACTTTGAAATATTAGCAGATATTAGAAAGTATTGTACTCTTTGTGGCATGATTAATTCGACAAAAGAACAAACCTATTCTTTGAGAAAAAAACAATACATAGAAATGAACCGGCAGCAAACTAGTCCACGAGGACTGTAGACTTGGCGATTCGTATTGGATAATTCTTACTAACCTAGTTTTATAATTGGCTGAAGAGTCATAAAATTAAATTTGAAGTCATGTTACGGTGACGAATAGAAATCGGGGAATGTGGCCTATGTTATCGCCGTCGTGTTCAGTTCAGGAAATGATCGCGATTTGAGTGTTGAAATTCGATATTGGTGCAGTTATAATCACTTAAAATTTTTGTTATCTGTTTAAAATGTGGCGTCCTTGGACAGGTACTAATAGTAATAACGAGTGTGTTAACAACTCAAACTTTTTCCAGTGTAGTGATTGCAATAGCGATGATGAACAATGCGAAAAAGAGATACCAGTGAATAAGATTCGGATGCATTTGAATAATGAAACACTGAGAGTATGTTTCAATGTATATAAGAATCTACATCTCAAGTTTGGTTTCGAGGGAAACAAACTATTACAAGCAACATCAGATTTGACAGAAATTTCTTTCTCAACTGTACGCAAAATAGTCATAAACAAACCTTATGAACGCAAGACGCGATGTGATACAAGATTACCAAAACATTTCGTTGTTCATCTAATAAAATCATTGAAAAAAACAATATACGACTGTTACACAAGCAATGGAATTATTTCATAAACACATTTACGAATCCAGGATGGGATGACAAGAACATAATTCGGATGGGTGCAAAATGTTGAAGTGTTAAAATATGTCAAACTCTTTTCTGCCAGGTGTCCTGGCAGGGAATTTGATATGAAATTTTGTTATTCTTGGAATGAAATGATTAATTTTAAATTATGACAAGTCGACGAATCAATCAAGGGATTTATATGGTGCGGTTCCCAGTTTACCTGAAAAGCGTGCTTTTGAAGATGTAGGGGCAGAAACTTCTGTCCTCTAAGAAGAACAAAACATCTGAGAATATTCCGGAATGTGGTGAAATGTTCGGGAATAATTTGGAACGTTCAAGAAATATGTGAGTATTTATCTACCTGAAGAAGGCGGGCGTTGTTCATCTGAACTACTGTGCACGCTGTTTTTGGAGAGTGCATTGGCTTGGGATGTGGGGGTTGAGCAGACCGGCCATCGGATGCCTGCTTCCACGTAGCCCCGCTGGACACGGGACTGACAGAATCACTTGTGGAATCGTCAGGTATAGCTGACGTGCAAAAATCCTCATATGGGAAGGTTGTTGCGGGTATCAAGGTGGGAATCTTGCACCTTGAGTATCCGACTACCTCATTAACGATGAAACAGCAGAGCATATACTTTGTGCCTGCCCCGCTGGGAACCGAATTAGGTTTTTAGAGTTCGACAGAGCCGTACTCTTACCATCTAACCTGAAAGACCACTCACCATACAAACTAATCGGCTTCGTCAGGAAGCTGGGTTTATTTGATCGAGTGTGAATAGATGTGAGCCACAATAAACCCTTGCGGGTTGCGGTGGAGGGTCGAATAGACCCACTCACTTTGGATCTAACCTATCTACCTGAGGACAAAACAAAAGAAATGATTCACTACGTAAAACGTTACCAACGTAATTGCAACTTTTTTTCATTACGCGTGCCACATCTGTTTGTCAGGCTGCTTGAGTTCATTTCTCGCGCGATAGTTTTGATTTTACGGTAAATTCCAGGTATTAATTTTAATGGAATGGTGTAAAAATAATTACAATGTGTATAAAATGCTGACGTACTTATTTGAGGCGTTTCCTGGAGCGCATGTATTCAAAACGTATTCGTCTGTGATTCAAATAGATCAATTCTGGCGTTGAAACGATGACATCACATTAACTGTGATTTGAAACGTATTCATCATGATTAAAAACTAGCGTGAGGTTGGTTTATTTACGTCGTTTGTCAGTTTCTGCTTTATTTTGATCATTATAGTTTAGTCACAAGTCGTTCCAATTTATTGCAAACAGTGGTGCCCCTCAAGGAAGCAAATTAGCACCTTTTTTATTCTCACTATTCATTAACGACATAGGAAATAATCTCTCTAGTAATTTCTTATATCACAGGAGGACTGCTTAATCTTACAAAAAGACCTTGACTTTTTGTACCTTCGGTGTACCGAAAATAATCTTCCCCTCAATACAAACAAATGAAGTAAGCTGTATTTATCAACTGCTTTGGCACCTAACAAACTTTTTTAAAGCGGGTGAAAACAATCAGATGACGTTATTGTTGACCAGTTTCAGTCACTAGTTTTATCTAAAACGATTCTCATTGTCGCTTCGTTGAAGACAATTTAGAGTATAGAATTTCAAGTCTGCAGCATAATCTATAAATTATAGAAGCTATCTTAGATACTCACCTTTACTTTCGATACTGGTTTCCGTTAAAAAAGTATGTATGTTTTTTAATTTCATTTCAAATTTTTACAGAGAAATGCAAAAGCATCAACTTTGTCTGGAGGTATGAAAAGAAAACTATGCGTGGGAATAGCTCTGTGTGGTAATTCTAAAGTTGTAATGTTGGATGAGCCTACAGCGGGTATGGATCCATCTGCAAGGAGGGCATTGTGGAACTTGTTACGGTCTCAAAAGCAAGGTAAGACATTTTTTCATGATTGAGAATGCCAGAAATTGCACTTCTTTCGACGTGAAAGAGTTTGTCACTCGTAAGGAGACGGTAGCTGTTTCAGACTGTGAATATATGAAAGATAGAAAGTAGATTGAATTGTGGCAAAGTTACTCAGTTTTCTATACTCACTACTGTATAATATCTGAAAAGTTTACTGAAATTGTTTAGTGTTTCCTTATTTGCAGATATATTCAAAGTTCCCCTTGTACTATGATGTACTATGATGATGTATCGGATTCTCTCTCAATGTTTCGTTTACAGGAAAAAGCTGTCAGGAACTAGTCCTGTGTCAGCTATCTGGAACACTGCCAACCTAGCCTCAACCTTGGAATTTTCCCTTTGTAGTTTCATATTGGTGTGGTCAGGAATACTGTAAGAACTAATATCTTCACGACATAATGTCAACGAAATCATGTGATTCAGTTTCGTAGATATTTTATTTGTGATGAATATTCATAGCAATGATACAGTTTAATGCAGGATTTTTGCTACAACAGGTTTCACAAAAACTGGGACATGTGTTCTGCCATACACTGCTTCCTTGAGGCTTTAACTGTATTAGTTATCACCTAAGGTCCAATCGGATAATCAAAAAACTATCACGGCCAAACACTGCTCAGAATCATCAAGATATTCTTGTTTTTGGTCAATAGTGGGCACGCGCGGCACCCACTTTGAACTGAGCTTCCTTATAGTTGAATGCTCATGCAGCATAAAGCCAACACGTTATTTTGATATCTTTACAATGTCAGCTAACTCACTCATTTTCACTTTTTGATCATTCGAAACGATTTTGTGGAGTTTTTTATGTTTTCTGGTGTTACTGCCCCATTCGAACGTCCACTGTGTTCTGTGTCTCTACGATTTCTCTACAACCACGTTTGAAATCAACAAATCAACGTTCAATTGTTGTTTCTAATGGAGCGGAGTCCTTATAACACTTTTCAAGCCATTGCTTCTCTTGAACGGTATTTTTTCCCATCAGAAGCGGTGTAAAATTAAAACACGAAATTATTTTTGATACATCGTTTTGAAAATAACGAAAGTAGTGCCACTATTAGCACAATAACTGATCAACTTATGAGTAGAATATCATGAAATTTCAACAGGTTTGTTTTGAAGGTGAGTACTAACCGAAAACGCGGGATATCAGTAATACTAGCGTCATATATATGTGTTAGTCCCGAGACTTTTCAGCCCATATAGTAGTATATTATATTGAACTGTATTATTGAATTTTATTAATGTATGAACATTTTGTTGGGTTAAAATTGCAGTCATCACAATTTTTCATCCACGCGAAAATGAAATCGCACATTTGATTCTCTTACAAACAATGAGTGTTTTCAAAAGATGACAGTTATGCACTTTTTTGTCAAACATATATACAGGCCGTTTATTTTATCATGTGGTAACATTGCTATATTCTAAACCGTAACAGATACGAAGGCAATTGAAAGGAATAAAAAGGTAAGTGTCATCGAGAACAATACAATAGCCGAAGAAAATTTACGGGAACTCTCGCCATTCTTGAGTTATACGAGGAAAACCAAATATACTGTTTTTCGTTTTTTTTGAATGGAATTGTTATTTCGGAGAATATCAAAAAATGGAAATGGAAAATGTTATTATATTCAAAGTGTCATATGGAGATGTAATAATCAATATTCGATAAAACGTCTCGTGTCAACATGGCCACCATTATCAAATACGGATCTATTTTATTACAGATATTGATGAAGTGATAAATTCACGATCCAAGGTTATATCACATTTGATATTTTTATAGCGTTTCATTTGAAATAATTACCATCATCAGTGACAACAATTTTAAATTACGGTCCTGTCGTTACTTTCTTTGTAAATTGTTTCGATTTCTTCAAAATATGATTCAGACAACCTAAAAATTCGACAGGTAGGTACTCAGGTTTTGGAAATTTTTGTATTGCCGTAATCTTTTTTTCAAGGCTTATTTCTCCCTAATCAATTATAATTCGTTATATTTTTATAATTGAATAGAACTGGCCGATACTCCATATTAAAAAACTAATTAATACAGTTTATTGCATGATTTTTACTATAAAGGGTTTTGTAAAAACCGCGACACGTGTTTCGCTATACAATAGTTGATATCTATTGAGAACTGTCAGACGTTTATGGACATATCAAAGATGTATTCAAATGATGAAAGGACTGATATCCTAGGTATTTAGTTATGCAAAATCGAATTGAAATCCTCTTTTGGCAGGGAGTGTGTATGTTGAGATATATCCGAATCGTCGAATTCCGAACATCCAAATGTTTAGACGATTAGAAATAAATTTGAGGGACTATGGTGCATTTGACAGAAAGAAAACAAGAAAATGTGTGGTAACTGGAAGTGTGAGGAATCAAATAAAAGTTATGGGTAAGCAAATATTACCACATAAAAATTGACACAGCGAAAATATCTTTTTTTTAATTTAGGATTAGCCAGTCACAAAAGTTATGCTAATCAAGATTGTTCTTTACGAGAAATTGCCCACGAAATGAGGATTTCTACAAAATCCACGAGAACTATTTCGAAGAAGAACAAATATAAATGCTACAGGATACGCAAAGTTCATCACCTCAATGAAAGGGATTATGGAAGGAGAGTACGACGTAGAAATAAGACGTAGAAATAGGGACGTTGGAAATATTTGTGAAAAAATAATATGGACGGACGAATCACAATTCACCAACAATTGTTGGTTTAATAGAAATATTCATTATAGGTGAAATAATACAAATGAACATTTTCAAAGGGAAACCAATTTTCAAAAATGGTTCGAAATAAATGTTTGGTTGGGAATTGTGGGAATAAACATCCTTGGCTCTTTCTTTTACGATGATTATTCGAATAGTGAATAGTGAAATAGTGAAATGTGAATTCGATGGCTACTAAGATGAATTGCCACTGAATATCCGTCATGAAATACTATATTTTCAACAGGACGGCGCTCCCCCCATAATGCAGCAATAGTGAGGGAACAGTTAGATGCAATATTCCCAAGAAAATAGATTAGAAACAATGACCCATTAACTGGCCAGATTGATCCCCAGATCTTACTACTAGAGATTTTTTGTCTGTGATATATATAGGATAAAGTTTTTTCAATACCAAGTACAGATATCGAACATCTCAATCAAAAAATAAGAGATGCATGTATTAGTATTACACCAATTATGCTAGAAAATTGCAACAGAAATTGTTTGACCGACAACTTATGTGCATTCAACAAAAAGTGGTCGTCAATTCGAGCATCTAATGTAAGTTGCCATGTAGCTTTGATTTTCTGTATTGGTTATGGTGGTTATTTCAAATGAAAAGCTATAAAAATATCAAATGTGATATACCCTTGACTTGAGAATTTATTGCTATATCAACATCTGTAATAAAAAAGACAGGTCCGAATTAAAAAAAAAGTTCATTGTGGCCATGTTAACAGCAAACGTTTTATCGAATATTTATTATTACATCGTCATAGTATACTTCGAATAAAATAACGTTTCTCTTTTTCCATTTTTTTATGTTCACCGAAATAACAATTCCATTAGAAATAAAACGAAAAACAGCATATTTGGTTTTCCTCGCATAACTCGAGAAGGGCGATAGTTAACGTAAATATTCTTTGACCATTATATTGTTCCCGATGATAGTTACCTTTATCCCCTTTTAATCGTCTTGGTATCTGTTACGATTCAGAATATAGCAATGTTTCCACATAATAAAAGAAACGGTATGTATATAAATCAAAAACTGAACGTCCTATCTTCATGAAGTTCAGTACATGAAATGGCACAAAAAATTTAAAAAAGAGACCAGAAGATGTCAATTTCAAAAGGTAATGAATAATTTTTATTTTACTCATTCTATAAATGAAATGAGCAGATATTGATGTCAAATTTCAAATTATATTATAATAACTAGTTTCCCCAGCACATAATTAAAAAGTAGTATTTGAGTATATACAATATGTGCCGCACCCTTATCTGAATAAAACAACGTATAATTTCATGAATGTGGTTTATCAAAGACAAAAATAATTTTTTAAACCCAACTGGTAGTTCCAGAGATAAGCGCGTTCAAACGAACAACAAAAAGCTCTTGAGCTCAATTATATTTGTATGAATAAACATCTAATTACCCACCAAAACATGAAGTGTCACTGATTCTATATAATTTCCAGGTATGGACGATAAAAATGATAAATACTCAAGTGTTGAAGGAGAATTTTTTGAATGCGAACCAAAAAATTTCAAAGCTGGAATTCAGATAAAAAGTCTCTGCAAAGTTTTTGGTAATAAAGTAGCTGTGAGAAATATCTCACTTAATATGTATGAAAACCAAATAACTGTTCTACTGGGTCATAACGGTGCGGGAAAAACTACAACTATGTCAATGCTGACAGGTACGTGAAATGGTATATATCTGCTGAAGCGCAGAAAAGCTACATATTTTATTTATTTGTTTCTTGGGAATTACTCCAAATTTCGACGTTGATCTCAAAATTTCGACTTTAAGCTCAGAATTTTGACTTCAATCTCAAACTTTTTTGTTTCAAACTCAAAATTATGTCTTAAAAATTGAGAAATCGACTTTAGTTTTGTAATTTCGACTCGAAACTACGAATTACGACGTTGAACTCAAAATTTTGATTTCAATCTCAAAATTTCTACTTTTAACTCGAAAATTCGACTTCAATCTTGGAATTTTCGCTTTGAACTCGAAATCATGACTTTAAACTGGAAATTTTGACTCCAATATCAAAATTTTAACTTCAGTCTCAAAACTTCAGCTTTAAACTCAATTACATGGATTTCAACTTGAAATTTCGATTTCATTAACGGTATTTCAACTTTAAACTCCGAATTATGTCAGTAAACTCGAAATTTGAACTTTAATTCTGGAATTTCGACTTTAAACTTCAAATTATGACTTTAAACTTCGCTTTAAACTCAAAATTGAAATTTTGAACTGAAAATTTTTACTCACCTCCACATTTGATTTCGAAAAATCGACTTTGAATTCGAAATTTCGACTTTAATTTCGAAATTTTGACTTCGGACTCCAAATAACGATATTCAATTCAAAATTTTGACTTTATTTGAAAATTTCGACTTTTTATCGAAATTTCTGCTTTAAATTAGAAAGTTCCACTGAATTTAGATTTAAAAATCTATATAACGACTCAAAACTCGAAATTTGTACTTCAATCTCGAAATTTCCGCTTGAAAATGGAAATTTTGACTTTGATCCCAAAAACTCGTCAAACAGCACCCACACTTTCCATTGAATCCTCTTTCGATATTTGACTGGATTCGTGAATGAAAATTTCAGGTNACAATACGCAGAAATACATACCCAACATCCCCAAAAGTTGAATATCTGGGCCGGAATATTAGGCAATCGTATTATAGGTTCATTTTTCATTGATGGAAATTTAACCGGTGATTCCTATTTACAACTTCTTGAAGAGGCAATACAACTTCGTATAGTTGAAATAATTGAACAGGATTCAAGATGTCAAGATGAAATTATCCATTTTCAACAAGACGGTGCACCACCCCATTATGCCCAGCAGGTTCGAAATTTTTTAAATAATCATTTAGAAGGACAATGGATTGGCAGAAGAGGTCCAATTGAATGGCCAGCACGATCACCAGATTTAACACCACTGGACTACTTTTTTTGGGGATATTTAAAGTCTAGAGTTTATGCTTCACAGCCAATTTGGATGAATTACGTCTTAGAATTATTGATGAATGCCGAGCTATAACTCCTGAGATGTTGAATAATGAAAGAGCAAAATTCGAACAAAATCTTTATTGTTGCATGGGGCAAAATATCGCACATTTTGAACATTTACTCTAAATTTCCTATGTGAGTTACCCTTATTAGGTGTTACTTTTTTTGTGTGTGCTTTAAAAACAATTATTGGGATTTACTAACCCTAAAACAGTTTTTTAAACTTTTCTGTGTCATCAGCATTCAAGGAAATCAGCAGGTTGTATTCGTTGTATAGGTAAGTTTTTAGTATGATTCACTTTTTTATCAGAAGCATAAAATATACACGTCAAAAGGCAACCTTCATAAGGAGGTGCCACTCAGTTTACCTAAAATGTAAGGATGGTAACCGACCCCATCCCCCGAAAAAATCTCCTCGTAATAAACTAATAATTCTTACTTTTCTACGAAATCAAATGGACACGTATTAGCAGGTTGTCATAAAAAGCATTTTTTTTATGAAAGTTCTGAACGTTAATTGTACCTTTAAAAAAGTTGAACTCAATAAAAATACCTTTAAATCTTCAAATTATCTCGAAAACTAATCGTTACAAAAAATTTCTTTCAACAGATATGTAAAGGTATTTGAAAGACCTTCAAAACAAGGTGCCACTCGACCTACTTTCCCTATCTAAATAAGGGTCGTCGGACGCACCCCTCCGCTACAAAAAATCTGACTAGTCTGAAAGGTGTCCCTCTTTAATTAAAAACCGACGTGTCCGAGCTTTTTTTAAAAAGCTTACTTTTTATATTCAAAAACGGCTCTGTTAAGTTTTCGTTGTTACACACTGTATACTTCATATTATATACTCCATTATAATAGCATTTTCCGTAACTGGGTACTCCTGTTGGAAATAAATCGGTTTTTCTTTTGAGAAGGAACAAACATAAACATAAAAACGCTTGAGAAAGCTATCATTATTAATGGTTGATGTTTCAAATGATATTTCCAAATGCTGTTTTTTTTTCGTAGATGAACAATTTAGTTTTTTGATAACGTTTCATAATTTCTTGTATATTTCTTGTTGGCTTGTATACTGTATCTTTGCAAATTAATATAGTTTTTACTAATCCCACATTTTGTAAAAAAACGAACAAGTGGACTTACCAAACATCAGTTTATCCATGTTAAAGTGTTGTGAAAGTTCATAATAGCATCTCGTGGAAAATTTGCTTCGTCCGTAAATGAAATATTTGGTGAAAAAATACTATTGTGTTCCATCGTATGAATCAACCACTTGCAAAATATTAATCTTGGTCGAAAATCCCGAGGCAATAGAGTTTGGACCCTCTGTATGTGATTTGGGTATAGGGGGTTTATTTTTAGAACTAGTCTTCCATTTTGTTTCTCGAAAAACGAAGCTTGATATGAAGAAAACACAAGGGACAAAAAAGTTGTATTTTTAGTTGCTTGTTCCAAAAAAATAAAAAACTAGGAAAAAGTTAGTGGCGTTCTATTTTTTTCTCAATATCGTTGGCTGTGGTACCCGCTGAGACGCCACTAGTCCTAATAATTTCAATCTAGTTAGGGCTAAATAAGCGCCTTGTTACTTCAAATAAGTGTAGCAAATTTCAACCAAATTGATGTATGGATATTTATGATATTTTATAAACACCGCCAGGTTTCTCAGAAACAAAGCAACTCCGTACATATGTTCATTTTCTTTGCTTAAATCAACCTAACTAATCACCCTCTGAAGTTTTGTACCGTAGTTAGGAAACACCCTGTATGAAGACCCCAATATTTTCTTTATGATGCATGTGTGTTGTATGAAGACCTAATGAAATTACTTTTAGAGGTAGGAAATATGTTGCACCTCAACAGAAATGGATTCTACACAATTGCATACGCAGATGACATAGTTATCTTGCAGACCGGCAAATTTGTAAACACACTGTGCGATAGAGCGCAGGATGGGCTCAAATTGATAGAAACATGGTGTAAGGAACACTCACTGTCGATCAATCCCAAGAAGACTGAGATGGTCCTTTTCACCAGGAAAAGAAGTTTAACGGGCTTAAAACCTCCCGAAATCTTCNTGTCCTGTGCGAGTGCCCGGAGTTATCGTCAATAAGAGAGTGTGTGTTCGGCGAGTCTTGGCCTACACCTGCCGATATAAAGGAGATGTCTCCCAGCGACCTGTCCACCTTCCTGGAAAGGACAGGATGGACGATGACCTAGGAGGACAACTCCTCGGGAGGATGTACAATGGGTCACATGTGGCCTAAGTGCGTGGACTTACACTCACCCTCCCTACTCTACAGATACAGAGAGATGTTGCAGAGAGGAAGTCCTCATAAGTATGTGAATTTTGAAAGAATTAATTTACAATCCTATCCATCAAAGCAGCTAATTCAACTACAGAAAAACACTATCCTGCAGTTCTATATAATCAGTATGATGAATTAGTCAATAAAAGTGGTCGAATTAACAGAAATAAAAAATATGAAGAAAAATTCAGTAACTCTGCTCCAAAGTTCGTATGGAAACTTACTGGATTATTTTGGTACAAAATCATTCAGCATTCACACTCAGAATAATCCTACTGAGCAATAAAAATCATCATCAATGTATATCAAGCCTACCGAACCTGAAGAAATAAAAGAATTAATTACCTTGGACACGAGAAAAGCTCCATTAGAATTGTAATAAAAGTTGAATCAGAATTAGTACCACTGATGAGTAAGCTGTATTTATCAACTGCTTTGGCACCTAACAAACTTTTTTAAAGCGGGTGAAAACAAACAGATGACGTTATTGTTGACCAGTTTCAGTGTTAATAGTGTTATCTAAAACGATTCTCATTGTCGCTTCGTTAAAGACAATTTAGAGTATAGAATTTCAAGTCTGCAGCATAATCTATAAAACTGAAAATTAAAGAAGCGATCTCAGATACACCTTTACTTTCGATTCTGGTTTCCGTTAAAAAAATATGTATGTTTTTTAATTTCATTTCGAATTTTTACAGAGAAATGGAAAAGCATCAACTTTGTCTGGAGGTATGAAAAGAAAACTATGCGTGGGAATAGCTCTGTGTGGTAATTCTAAAGTTGTAATGTTGGATGAGCCTACAGCGGGTATGGATCCATCTGCAAGGAGGGCATTGTGGAACTTGTTACGGTCTCAAAAGCAAGGTAAGACATTTTTTCATGATTGAGAATGCCAGAAATTGCACTTCTTTCGACGTGAAAGAGTTTGTCACTCGTAAGGAGACGGTAGCTGTTTCAGACTGTGAATATATGAAAGATAGAAAGTAGATTAAATTGTGGCAAAGTTACTCAGTTTTCTATACTCACTACTGTATAATATCTGAAAAGTTTACTGAAATTGTTTAGTGTTTCCTTATTTGCAGATATATTCAAAGTTCCCCTTGTACTATGATGTACTATGATGATGTATCGGATTCTCTCTCAATGTTTCGTTTACAGGAAAAAGCTGTCAGGAACTAGTCCTGTGTCAGCTATCTGGAACACTGCCAACCTCTCTGTATTAAGCACAGAATAAAGTCCTTACCGTGTTTGTACATTTTCCAAGTTCTAANGCTTTCTTGCTTGCTATAGGTTGGTGAGAAATAGATATATTGAAAATTCGCAAAGCTATGTATGAAAACACACCTTGAATAATTTTTTTTGCACCACTTTAAGGATGAAAAAATCGAAGGTCGTAAAATTTTGGCGAGACGAGAAAAAATCAAGAATAGGATGCATCCATGTCGCCAATTCCAAAGATACATTTTCCTCGTTGTTTCCCAACATTTGTAATATTTTGCACTTTTTTGTGAGTGAAGAGTACTAAATGATATATTCAGGACAATATCAGCGTTATAGGTATGATCTAGGAGAAATGGAAAATATTGAAAATTTCTGCAATTACGAAATCTTAATTGCCTCAAAACATTTCACAAACAGAAGTATGTTGATGAGGTGATGTAGACAGGGTCCGAAACAGTATAAAAAATGTTTTTACGTTTTATCCAAACTATTTCTATATTTCAATAATGTCATCAGTGTTCAAAATAGAATGATTTCAAACCACATAGGTTGAATGCTGCCAGTTATTATACTGATAATAATAATAATAATAAAGTTTATTTTATTGATAATATACAATTATGGGGGAACTTATAATATATACTTGATGATTACTGAAAATATCAACGACTATGAATAATTGAAATTGATTTTTTCTTGTTTTCATTTCAAACCCTTGAAAACGAAATGAAATTTCAAAGTATTAGGAGGATATACCATGTATAATTTTCTATGCATAGCAACATGCGTTGTTTCCTTCCATTGCAATTATTAAGACACACTGAATTTGATAAAATCAATCAACACGCAATATGAATATTACTAGAGTTTTCTCCCAACACCAAATCGTTATTTTCAACACGTCGACACGTGTTTGGATCACCAAGTGATACAATTATTATTCTACGGTATTGTCTTTTTTTTTCTTAATATGACATGCTACAAACATGTATTGTAACGTAGTCAAATGAATATATTCTATTCTAGGGACATATAATTCATATACAGGGTGTCGTTATACTCTGAAATTTTGAATACGGACCTGTAATGTTTATGAAATACCTAAAATTCAAAGTTTTTTTGAACACAAATCTACTCTCTTCATGTAACTTGACTAATTGTTTGATACTTTCAGAAGTATGAGAAAAATACGAATACTGTTAATGAATTATTACACTTATTTTGGTAAATTGTCCGAATAGCATTAAAAATTTCTCAAAAATGTTTGCATAGTTGGACTTTAAATTTCAAAATGAGTAAGCATTGAGAACTTCAACAATTACTCGAATTTGTTAATACTGATTGACTCCTGATTAAATACAGCGAGAACCAAAATGGGGGCTGGACATAAAAGTTCAATTTTTTTCTATACTTCTGGAAGTTGTACGTTGTGGAAAGTATTCCACTAGTTTTCGCGAAAAATTAATTTCTAAATACATTTTCATAAATGAAGGGATTGCGAATATCGGCTTCTGATTGAGCTCTGGCTTTCTTGCTTGCTATAGGTTGGTGAGAAATAGATATATTGAAAATTCGCAAAGCTATGTATGAAAACACACCTTGAATAATTTTTTTTGCACCACTTTAAGGATGAAAAAATCGAAGGTCGTAAAATTTTGGCGAGACGAGAAAAAATCAAGAATAGGATGCATCCATGTCGCCAATTCCAAAGATACATTTTCCTCGTTGTTTCCCAACATTTGTAATATTTTGCACTTTTTTGTGAGTGAAGAGTACTAAATGATATATTCAGGACAATATCAGCGTTATAGGTATGATCTAGGAGAAATGGAAAATATTGAAAATTTCTGCAATTACGAAATCTTAATTGCCTCAAAACATTTCACAAACAGAAGTATGTTGATGAGGTGATGTAGACAGGGTCCGAAACAGTATAAAAAATGTTTTTACGTTTTATCCAAACTATTTCATTTCACAATATTGCCTATCCAAATTTATTTTTGCAATATGTCGTTATGTAGTAATCAGTAAACCCAATAACATTATTTTATTTTATTTTAACAAGCTATATAGTATGCTCTTTGGTATAGATCCGTTATCGTTATTCATATTATTATTGTTTTTACCTATTTCTACACTCTCATAGGCATCTAGTTGCCTGTTGTTGTTAACTTGTCTAACTAATCTTAATGAACTGAAGTCTATGGAATGGTTTTGTTGCAAAATATGATGGGCGACTGCTGATTTTTCAGGTCTTCCATATTTTAAGTGTGCTATGTGTTCCTTATATCTTACTTTAATAGATCTTTTTATCTGTCCATATTTTGCATCGCAGTCCTTACATTCAATTTCGTATATTCCAGACTTTTCCGAATTCTCGACTTTTTCTTTTGGACTTTCCAAAAGGCTCTGTAGTGTATGACTTGTTTTAAAAATCACCTTCATACCTAGTTCTTTGAAAATCTTTCCAAAGTTCCTCGTATATTGGTGGTATGGAACTGAGATGTATTTATCTCGTTTTTTGTCCTTTCTGAAAGTCGAGATTTCGTTCATTCTTAACCTAAACTTCTTCTTTCTTATTATGTCATCTACAGTACCTCTCGAGAAACCGTTAGTGGCTGCTATTTTCTGTATTGTACGTCTTTCTTTTGTGAACCTATCATGTGTTAGAGGGAAAGTCAAAAGACGATGCACTTGAAAATTCAACCCAGCACGTTTGTGCTGTCCACAGTGATATGAACTGTCAGGAATATACCTGTACGTGCTTGTTTCTTTTTTAAATATATCGTATTCTAACCCTCCATATTGGCTGCTCAATATGGAGGGTCAAGAAATGGTAGTTGCCCCTTATTTTCTAACTCATACGTGAATTTTATTGATGGACATCTATTATTTAAAATGGAAACAAAGTCGTCAATATTCGATTTTTTGGTATCGAACATCGCGGAAATATCATCCAGATACCTTAGCCAAATCTTAGGAAAATATTTCGACTTTTTTTTGGTTTCCATTTCGAATCTGCTCATGAACAGGTCTGCCAGATAGGGGGACAAGGGGTTTCCCATGGCCGTTCCTTTCTGTTATTCATAAAAGAAACCTTTTACCGAAATTGTTTTATATAAACATATATTGTAAAATAATAGATAAGGCAAAATTGTAAAATTAATTTAGGTTGGTATACCTGTATGGTTGGTACGCCTGGATGGTTTACCTGTATGGGTTACCTTTATAGCATAAATAAGGTTAGCTCGCATAAGTTTCTAGTTTTAATCTTCCTCTTTGAAGATGATTACTTGGTGATCGAAACACGTGCCGAGGTGTTAAAAATAACGATTTGGTGTTGGGAAAAAATTCCAGTAATATTCATAACTACACCAAAGGTTCCAAACAGTGCATCATAAGTACGCAATATGAACATTTCAATTCGAAAAATTGGTGATTGAGTATTCAATTTCGATTGATACATAAAATAATACTCCCTTCAATGAATCGAGTTTGAAAAAGAAAACAAAATAAAAATGGAAATGAAAGTTTTCGACTCTCTACTTCTCTATTTTTATACAAGAAAACGTGGGAATCTTTCAATAAAAGGAAAGAAGCAAACAATTTCAAGATAGTAACTTTACAAAAGTGTGTAGATCATTCATACAAACTGGAAGAGAAAACCTTTTCGAAACAGCTTTCATATCAACATTGAATTACACGAAAGAAAAATACTTTCGAAATGAATAATTCAATATGAAAACTGAATTATGCAAAAACATTTTTTTTATTCAGTTTATATTCCAAACATTCGTTGTGGAATGGAATCAGATAACATTCACAGGATTCCTACACAATATAGTATATGAAAGAGGTAAAATTTCACTTACATGGAACATTGTCAACCTCATTGGTAGACATACGATGTTACGCCGTAAGACACTTGCCTTATCAGGTCTTCAGTGCCAAATATAGATAACATAATAGGAAAAAACATTCATGTCATCCGACTTTATGTCATCGATGACAGTACCTAATGGCATTCATTCAACTAATCTAAATTCAGTTGTATTGCTACCTGCATATGCAAAAAATTTTCTGTGAAGATTCCTGCACTGACGCCTGTCGGCTATAATCCAACGCCGTTCGTGGTATTAGCTAGAGGAGTAGTTGTTTTCTGATAGGCATCCAGTCCATTTAACCTACTGTGTAGGTATATCCAAAACATTTAAAGTTCATTTCTTTAGATTTGTTCACTGCCTGTCTTCAAGCATAGCCCACTGACTAATAAGAAAATTCATTAAACTGATTGCTTTCTTCCTTTCTTTGGAAATTTTCCACATTTTTTCATATCGAGATGAAGAGGTAGAAAGCCAAAAAACTTTCTTTCCCGAAAATGTACCTCCTCAAGAAAAGTTAACCCCTTTCAATTCAAGAAATAAACATTTTCACAAAGTTCTCATTCGAAAGTTCTCTTCAGGACGAACTATGCTCCTTACTACACATTTCATGGACGAAGCTGACCTTCTTGGAGACAGAATTGCAATTATGGCAGATGGAGAACTACAGTGCTGTGGTTCAAGTTTTTTTCTCAAAAAAAAGTACGGTGCTGGTTACAGACTCATAATGGAAAAGGGGAATGATTGTGATGTTGAAAAAGTATCGTGCTTATTGGCGAAGTACATATCCGATATTGAGGTGAGTCGACACATATATTACTGAATGGAACTGGCCGAAACATTTCAAAACTTGTTTATGAAATGTAGTTCGATTTTCACAACACCGCGACACGTGTTTCAGACAGGTTGGAGCTTAGCTCCTTTACGAATCAGTAGAGGGTTGTCATGAAAATTTAGAGAAGAAAATTGGAATAGATAATTCAGGAAATACTTGCTACCTGGATGGCACTTTACAAGTGTTGTTCATGACGAAGAATTTCGAAATCGAGGTTTTAATGATGAACGAGAACGAGAATGTTTACTACTTATTCACCAAACTCAAACACCTTTTCATGCAGCTGCAGTTTCGTAAGAATCTTTCTCTCCAACCAATTTCCTGGAGTCTTTGAAGTCCACTAGATATACTCATTAGGACAATAAGAGGGTTGTTCCGAACTCTTGGGGTTATTGTTGAATGCTCCTCGTGAAGAAAACAATAGCAGAATCAATACTCCTGACCGCTCCGGATTGAATGATTCTGTACAGTCCATCTCGTCTTGTGTTTGTAAATCTTTCGCTGGAAAAATCCTCACTTGTTTACTTTGTAGTAAATGTTCAAGAAGTAGCAAAAATGTATGTGAATTTCTGGAAATTTAAGTAGCGTTTTCTAATATGACCAATAATCAGTCCGTGCAAAGCTTATTGCTAAATCATCAGAAAATGGAACTTTCAACAGGTGATGATCGACTGTATTGCCAAACATGCGCCAAACTAACTGACTGTTATAAGAAAATAAGTATAGCTGAGACACCAGTCAATCTAATAATAACACTGCTGATCTTCAAATATGACTCAACCTCGAACGGAAGCACCAAACTGTTACGAAGGTTCGAAATAGATGAACACTTCAATTTAGCAGACCACTATTATAATCTTCATGCAGTCATCGTTCACTGTGGTTCTGGCATTGAATCTGGTCATTATTACGTATTGGTCAAAAACAAAACGGACCGGTTTGACGATAGTCGTGTCACTAAGTCTTTTGGCGATGTCTTGAATTTATTGGATCCCTACATTTTGTTTTATGGGAGAGATGATATTGGTAGATCAAGATCTTCAGATGATGTGGAGCTGCAGGTTTTTCCGGGTTTTCCTGCAGCTGAAAAAGCAAATGCGTCACTGGAATCAATCAAGTCGTCCCGGAGCGCCAATTAATTTTTGTTGTTGTTTTATAATTTCACGATTTGTATTTTGGAAGTGTTTTAAATATATTTCAAATCAATTTATATCATATTAGACAATGGAAGTCCGAACTGAAATACACCACGAAACATCTTCGACCACCTTCAAACAAACATACAGGGTGTTAATTGAGTATGTACCATAAATTTAACAGACCATTCTTTGGGTAATTTTAAGAAAAAAAAAGTTATTCGTAAATATCTCAAATATTATTCACCTAATTTTGTGGTAATTTGGCAATGGTATTCATAACATCAAGGAGATAGTTTAGCTTGAACGTGATTCAATTTATCAAATCCAGTGGCGTCTCGAGCAGGATTTGAACGAATATTTTTGACTTAAAAATGTACGCCACTGACTTTTGTGCAATTTTTATTATTTCTTTGGATTGAACAATTAGAAATACAACTTTTTTGTGATTTGAATTTTTTCCGTATCTTGCTTAGTTTTCAAGAAAAAAAGTCGCCCTAATTGCATATCCCTGGACCTCACAAGAAATAATATGTGGAATTAATGTTAATGTTTCTTTTGGAAATTATTATTTTTACAATTTTTCATTAATAATTATGTAACAATAACAACAAATATTAAATAAAATTAACATTTAGACTAACGAATTGCACTAAATCAAGTGTTGGAAATGGCCTCCTTCGGCTTCAATACAACCGTCTAGCCGCCGCACTCTTCTGAAAATACCATAAATAAGAATCAAGGGTTGCCTTGGAAAACGATTGCAGTATTTAATAAACAACTTGACAGTTGTTGTCAACTTTATAAGCGTTTCATTTATAATTGTTATAAAAAGTGTGTTTAGTGGTTATTTTTTGAAGTATTTTTGTAAAACATGGTTCAATTTACCAACAGTGAAATGGCAGATATGCTTTTCTGTTATAGAATGGCTCACAGAAATTCGAATGCTGCAAGACGCATTTACCATGAAAGATTTCCTCAGCGTGTAGTGCCTAATAGAAGAACTTTTGTACGTCTCCATGCACGACTTTCTGAAACAGACAACTTAAAAAGATCGACGGTTGTCATTGGGAGGCCTGCAACGGTACGAGCAGTTCAAATTGAAGAAGCTGTTTTAAATGAGATGGAAGTAAACCCCCATACCAGTACTCGGAAATAGCTGAAGAACTGAATTTTATCCATATCACAGTGTGGCAGATTTTAAGAGCTTAGCAGCTATATCCCTATCACATGCAACGTGTGCAAGCTCTATTTCCCAGAGATTTGCCTGTAAGACTAGCTTTTTCTAATAGGTTACGTGATAAAATAAGAAGAAATCCAGGTTTCCTAAGTCGAATATTGTTCACAGATGAAGCTTGTTTTTCTAGCAATTCAATTAATAACTTCCACAACAATCACATTTGGGGGCCGAAAACAATTCACACGCCTTGATAGAAAATAATTTTCAAGAACAGTTTTCTTTTAATATTTGGGTTGGAATTGTCGGTGACCATCTCATTCGGCCTCACTTCCTTCCATCTAGACTTGATGGAGAAGAATACCGAAGGTTTTTAGAATTTGTTTCACCTGGACTTTTAGAAGAAATTCCAGTCATGGAAAGATTCCGTATATGGTACATGCACGATGGTGCTCCACCACACTTCAGTGTAGTGGCACGGTAATTTTTGGATGAAAATTACCATAATCGCTGGATTGGGAGAGCAGGCCCACACCCATGGCCACCTCGCTCGCCCGAAATGAATCCCTCAGATTATTATAAGGTGGGAACACTTCAAAGCGTTGGTATACAAAACTGCTATTCAAAGTGAAGTTGAAGAATTGGTTGAAAAAGTGCTTTCGCGATATAGGAGATCTACATCAAGATTGTTATTTGTGAATGTTGAATTTTTCGTTGATGTCATGATGAATGGCCAGTTATTTTTTTAAGATTCGCAGCAATGTTGGAACGGAACTGACGTATCTCTTAGACGATAACCAATCAATAATTTTTGAGTCTCTCTTAAAAGAATTGGAAGAAGAGTCGACAAAACTAGGAATACTGGGGTATGGAATCTCTCTAACAACTTTAGAGGAAGTTTTTATGAAGTGAGTAGTAATTAGTAAATTCAATTATTTGTCAACTGCAGCTGTTTTGAAACTTGTATTAGATCTACTGTTCTTGTTAAACAACCAGAGCCTTGGTGATATGTTGACTAAATACTTACACACATAACTGAAAAACGGGTTCGAGGGAATTGAGAAAATTGAATTCTGTCACTTCTTTTGAAAGTATACAAGGCCACATTGAAGGTTAGAAAAGTTCAGCTTTTCCCAAACATATCATATCCTTGAAAAATGCTCGAATATGGCAAATTTCAAATCTGATCTGAAATATATTTTCACTCTACAGATAGATATATATCTGTGTATTAGCAAGCTTTTCGTATCTCATATGATTTCAAATATTCATCTCTCATATTTATGAAATACACACAGGAAGTTGAAAATTACCGAAAATTGATTTGAACTCAAGCGTCATAATATCGAGTTCTAACGGCTTGTTAGGATAAAAATGTTCAACTGTTATATTTTGATCAAAAAAGATTTATAAGCTCTCAATAATTTGTTATTATTCTCTAATAATTCCTTGCATACAAGTATTTGAATTTGAATAATCACATATCCAATACCGAATATGAAAAATTCTGAACCAATATTTGTGGAAGTTTCATGAAGAAAGTGCGTGCGAAATATCGTGGAATTTTTTATGACTCAGTTGACAGAGACCAACGCCTTACTGGATATGTTCCAGAATTTTAACAGATGCTCCATTTCTACATTGCATATTGTTCAAACTTGGATATAACATTATTTTTGGAACACTCGGTGAAAAACCATAGGTTTTGGTTTACTGTTGTATATCCTATCGTATAAGGTGGTCCATTGACAATTTGTTGAAGTTCTTTCACACTGAATGTCTTCAATTTGGTCGCTGATGGTTGCCTGGTACAGATGTTGCTCAATAACAGTAACAACGACATACTATATCTGAACGTTTTTCCATCATAAGTTATTCCAAATTGTTGGATTCATTAGGTTATTTTTATGAGGTCTACGGTCTACGAAGTTTACAACTTCAACAGAGACAAAAGATATTCAAACTCTTCAATCAAAGAAGAAGAATCAAGACACTTCGTCTGTTTTTGATAACTCAATCAGCTCTGGAATGCTTCTTTGGGATATGCAAGAATGTTCCTTAGCAGCTCAATCATCTTCTCAGAGATTTCTCCGTAATATTTGTTTCGAAGACAGTGAGATTTTTTATTGTTGAAGATTCATATTTTTGTTGCCAAAAATAATAACAGATTGTGAAGCACAAGTTGACTTTTGGTTATTTCATCCTTTGCTTTTTTACATTTTCTTTCTTGATGTTAGCAAACATTGAGATAAATTTTGTACGAACTTTCCCTATATTACATTTCCGTCAACATTTTTAAATAAAGCCACAAAAATCTTCTGCTCTCATACTTTCAAAATTCGAACTTGCCCGCGTAGACAAAACAACTAGTTACCAGCGGACATTTTATTATCAAAATGGTAAGACATAAAGAAGTATATCAAAAACTCAAAATAGGTACGCTTAAGACCTGCAAATTCTACTACCACGGCGGTCTTCTAGGAGATTTGGCAAGAACATTTCAATGTTTTCAAAAACAATGGTGTCGATGTCGTCTACTGGAGGCCAAAAGAACCTCTCAGTTGCAGTGTTGTACCTTAAAAACTTAACTTGACATTCGTGGTTATCTGTAGGTTGTTGTATGATTTGCCCAGCGTAATACTTAATTGTTCTTTTCGTACAATACTTGACCAACACCCAAGCATGTAGCTTAAAATTTTCAAAATGCGAGGCTGTGTTTTCTTCAAAGCTGCCATCACTTAGGAGGTCCAGCTCATAGTCCGATTCCTCGCAAAACGGTTCAGGGTTGCCTTCGTCGCTACTTTCACTGCTGACTTCTTTTTGCTTCCTTTTTTTGTTTCTTCGCCTTGATATTTCTTTAAGACTTTGTTTGTTAGATTCCTGCTGTTGTATTCTTTCCTCAGCTTCTTGATGGGTGATAACCTCGGCACCTGTTGCTACTCGCCTTTTCATCTTGAGTTGCTTCGAAGTTGACCTCTTCATTAGGAATAACCCTTTGACTATCCTGTATTTCATCCCTTGCTACTTGATCTGCTTCTAAGTTGTCCTCTTCATTAGTGATGCCCTCAGTTTCGGTATCTTCAGTAACTTCTCTATCTTTTTTCCTTTTTCCACCTCTTCAGCGGTTCTGGATGATATTGGATGGATGACGGTGGAATTGAAGGGAAATATTCCTGCCTTCTTGAAGCCGTTTTGTATTATTTCTGGTTTTAAATTATTCCACACTTTACGAACTTTCTCAGAAAATATTTTCTTCGTCAACTGGATTCCTTGATTTTTCCTTTGCCAAGAGACCAACTCTTCATCCCATGCGGTTTTGAAAGACCTGAAAACAGCTAAGTCCAGTAGCTGCAGTAGGTGAGAAGTATGGGCGGAAGTTTCAAGATCGTAATGTCATTTTGACGGGCAACTTCTACAAACCTATGATCGATATGAGTACTATGACCGTCGTAGATTAATAGTACTGGTCTAGCTTCTTTTAATGCCGGTATGAATGTTTCAGTAATATAATTTACGAATATGTCTGACTCCATCCAGCCATTACTGCTGGCGGCGTACACCAAATCCAGATCATCGGCTGATTTTTCTGCCATCCATTGATTCCTTCCATCCATTTTTGCCCTTAAAGACAATCAGTGGAGGGGCTTTGTCGCCGACGGTATTAACTGCAGACAAGATTGTTATATTTTACTTTCCCGGGCGGTTTGTAGTACGGGAACATACAGCACCTTTAGCGCCAATCACTTTTGTTCTGGACGGATCGATTGCTAGACTGGTTTCGTCTAGAATCCAGATTTGTTTTGGACATTCAACTAACTGGAGGTCGGTTAAAGTTTTCTGCAAGAGTTTGAAATAGTTGTCTATTACGAATGGATCAGTCATTGTTTTTCTCGAGTATTCAACGGACTGAGGCTTTTTGATTGACAAGTTATGCCTCTTCTTGAAATTTAAAAACCAGCCTGCGCCAGGAGTATTATTCACCAATAAACTATCAAAAAGAATCTTGAGTATAATATTAAGTTATCATTCAGTTGATTATTCTTTTTCTTTGATTTATTCAAGGGTTGGTGCAGATCATGGTCATGAAGAAAATAACAACGGTTTGTCACTTGGAAATGGTCTGACGAAAGAAAGTACAATTGAACTAACACCAAACAAAGGTAAGTGAAAAATTTCACTAGGGCTCAGAGGAAAAACCAGCTCAAGTATTCAGTATTGATTTCGTAACATATAAGTTTTATTTTTCCCCAATTTTATTTCAGTTTCAGTATACAGGTTAGTCCAAACTCTGACGTCAAAAAAAATAAAATTAGATTTCTTGCCTCGAGAAGTCTACAAACATATCCTCTAACTCATATGCGATTTTTTATCAGGTTGTAATTTTATTGTTTCATAGAATTTTTTGAAACCTGTCTTTTTGCTTTCTTCAATTTTTTTCAGTAGATATTGTTAGTATCATGTCAGAACCACATTTTCACACATTGAAGTAACTAGTTTTCTAGCTCCCTGATATCAATTACAAAACAAAGTAACGTTTGAAGAAGAATAAGATAAATTTTCAATTCTGATTTTGAAATCTACAGCTTCAAAATTATTTAAAAAAATATGCAAGATCACTAATTTCGAAGGTTTTTTGTAAAGTATTGCTGAAATCGGCATTCGAAAGTACTCAGGTAGATTATCTAATTAGTAAATTGATGAAAAAATCGTTGTTGTTGTGTTGTCATTCCAACGGATAATTCAGATAAGAACCATGATTGATAAAAATAACCATTCCAACAAATTAATTTGTGAGATCATATTGAAACTGATGAATGCAGATTTAATACATTTGAAATCAATCAACTATTTCACCTGTGCATATCATTAGGAGCTTGGTTATACATATTAGTTTGAATTATTTCGTGGCAACGTTAGTTTAAAACGCCTTGTGAACTTGTTTTGTATGTTACATTAGTTATAAATATTTTAATTTAAGTTTGAAATTCGTTAATTTCAAGTCTGACAAATGGCTAGATTACCGGAAATGCATAAAATAACAGTTTCACAAATGAATGGTTATTGAGATAAAACCCGAACACAACAGGAAGTAGCTCTCCTATTTCATGAGAAATTTTCTAATTTACCGCCCACATCTCAAGGAACAATAAGCAAAATAGAGAAGCAGTTTCGCGAGCTTGGTCATGTGAGGCAGATAAAAAAAACAGCTGCCAATGCAATGAGTAATGAACTCAAATTAGATGTGATGCTTGAGTTTGAGAAAAACCCACATAGATCAAGTAGACAGGCATCCACTACATTCAATGTTAGCCGTACATCGATAGGAAATATATTAAAAGAAAATCAAATGCATTCCTATAAAATGATACCTACTCAGGAGCTCATGGAAGACGATTTTGATAGAAGCACTTGTTTTTGTGAGCAAATGATAGACATGTTGGATAACAATATCATCCAATTAGAAGACGTTGTTTTCTGATGAGTGTACTCTAAACGGTCATGCCAATCGGCAAAATTGCCACTACTGGTCAACGGAAAATGCTTACTGGATGAGAGAAGAACACACGTAATACCCTCAAAAGGGTAATGTTTGGGCAGGGATTATAAAAAACCATTGGTCCCTTTTTCATTGAGGGCAACTTGGATGGCGATAATTATTTGGCGCTACTTCAAAATGACGGCATTCCAAGTTCAGCAAATTTATATCCTGATCCAGGAAACCCTCAAGTTCTATTGAATACGATATGGTTTCTGCAGGATGTAGCACAACCACATTACCAAGTCAATGTCTGACAATACCTCGATACAACATTTCCCTGATATTTCATTATTAGATTTCTTTTTATGAGGATATGTAAAGAGCAATATGTTTGAAAAAAACCTTCAAATTTGAATTACTTAAAAGAACCAATAACGCTTGCGATTAGGTCGGTCACGCCTGATATGTTAAATACTGTTAGAAGACAGTTTTATTTGAGATTACGATGTTGCCAAGACGTTCGCGGTGAAAATTTTGAACATATACCTCGTTAACATCCACAGTTCTTTTTTGTATTCTACATTTCATTACGTTTTGCATTAAATTTTTGTTTTTGAGTGTATTTTATCGAATTTCGGTAACCACATGATTTTAATTTATTTTATCTTAATTGTTGCAATAAACTTGATAGCGATAACATTTTTGAATAGAGAATGAAGAGACCTTTCAAACAATATATTACAAACTTATATTTCCGAATAAAAAAAATGGGGTTGTACCTGTCATTCAAAGGTGGTTCAAGGTAGGGGTGACATTTTTACGTTGAAGAATGTCAAATTATAATTTACATTTGACGTATTTCGGGATTTTTTTTAAATATGTACAGTAACCGAAATAATGAGTTCATTCCATTTGGCTTTTACACACTGTGTATATTGGGAAAACCATTAACATTCACTTTTCCTCAGCTTGACTTGTCTATAAACACTTATGGTATTGTATGTATATATTCACCAATAAACTATCAAAAAGAATCTTGGTTATAATATTAAGTTATCATTCAGTTGATTATTCTTTTTCTTTGATTTATTCAAGGGTTGGTGCAGATCATGGTCATGAAGAAAATAACAACGGTTTGTCACTTGGAAATGGTCTGACGAAAGAAAGTACAATTGAACTAACACCAAACAAAGGTAAGTGAAAAATTTCACTAGGGCTCAGAGGAAAAACCAGCTCAAGTATTCAGTATTGATTTCGTAACATATAAGTTTTATTTTTCCCCAATTTTATTTCAGTTTCAGTATACAGGTTAGTCCAAACTCTGACGTCAAAAAAAATAAAATTAGATTTCTTGCCTCGAGAAGTCTACAAACATATCCTCTAACTCATATGCGATTTTTTATCAGGTTGTAATTTTATTGTTTCATAGAATTTTTTGAAACCTGTCTTTTTGCTTTCTTCAATTTTTTTCAGTAGATATTGTTAGTATCATGTCAGAACCACATTTTCACACATTGAAGTAACTAGTTTTCTAGCTCCCTGATATCAATTACAAAACAAAGTAACGTTTGAAGAAGAATAAGATAAATTTTCAATTCTGATTTTGAAATCTACAGCTTCAAAATTATTTAAAAAAATATGCAAGATCACTAATTTCGAAGGTTTTTTGTAAAGTATTGCTGAAATCGGCATTCGAAAGTACTCAGGTAGATTATCTAATTAGTAAATTGATGAAAAAATCGTTGTTGTTGTGTTGTCATTCCAACGGATAATTCAGATAAGAACCATGATTGATAAAAATAACCATTCCAACAAATTAATTTGTGAGATCATATTGAAACTGATGAATGCAGATTTAATACATTTGAAATCAATCAACTATTTCACCTGTGCATATCATTAGGAGCTTGGTTATACATATTAGTTTGAATTTTATTATCTTTGAAATGGAAAAATGTAATTTTATTAGTGAAATTGAGCTCTAAACACAATAAGTTTTATTGCGTTTTGATTTGAGAATTACTTAATTCTTTTACATTTTCAAAGTGATTTTGAAATCAAATTCTTCACTTCTAATCATTGATTTTGACTATTTTATCATTTTTAAACCATTAATTGAAAATTGAAATTTGGTGTATTGGGTCAAAATCGATTTCTGATCAACTTTTTCCATTAACTATTTTGGTATCTCCAACGCGAAGTGAAATATCGAGAATTTGCCTTTTTCCCTGGGTCGCAGTAGACTGAATTGGAGGTTAAGTATTACGAAAAATGCGGCCTATGAAGGTCAACGCCTGTACCAAAAATCAAATATCTGCTCTCAAAAATGACTAAAATACAGGGGTGTCTGCATCTCAAGTGTGTCATAGTTTGGAAAAAGTGTATATAGTTTTTCTCAGTTTCATCAAATAAAACACCCCGTGAATAATGATCAACAGAATAGTTCAAACTCTGAGCTTGCAGAAAATGTAAGGTTTGACTTCATTATTTTTTTTGGTATGTATATTTTTCTCAAATAATGTATGAAAATGCCATAAAAGCATTAACGACTTTTTTATTTGATGGTTAACAAAAGAGACGAGGAGTAAATTCGAAAAAGCGCGAAATCATAGCATGTGTTCAAATGATTTCACATTCTGGGCTGAACACAAGTCGAATCAACAATAATTGCTTTTTGCACTTTATATAGGTTCGATCTTGTGATAGAACGTGAAACTTCTAAAGATCTTTTTCTTCATGTTTTCTAATGTTGTATGTTTCTCTTCATAGGCAGCATATTCCAAGAGATATGTATATGAAGACATCTGAAAGATCATGAGAAGTTGTTGGATACTTTTCCTAATAATTTGTTTGTTTGCTTCTGTTCAAAAACTTTCTCACATGGTAGAGATTATACGTAGACATGTCATCATGTAATATATCATGTTTCTGTTCAATTTATTGAACTATTCAGAAGAAAATATATGTAAGATTCTTTATTCTGTTGCCAATAACTCGTTCCTAAGTTATGTCCTCGAACTCATTTGTTTGATCATCTATTTTAGTTATCATACCTCACTGATTATCAAAATGAGGATTCTCTGGCAAGTAGTAGTGGCAATTGTGTCCATTTATCATTCTTATATTTTAAAATATTGACCTCAGGAATTGAATTCAATATGTATATCATCAGAATGAAACTTTGGTTTCACAACCCCTTCCAAAGTATATGGATACCGTTTCTTTGTCGATTTTCTAGATTTTCACTTGATGAATTGCAAAAACATGACACGTGTTTTAGTGTGCAATAGCTGTTAGTACCGAACACGTATAAACAAGCTATTGTATGGTCAGAGACGTGTGGCGGTTTTTAATCTATTGAGTGAAAAGTTATAATGCTTTTTCATCAAGGTGGTTTCTTCCATCACTTGTTTTCTGTCGTCATTCTGATTATGGGTGTCTGTTATGGGTGTATGTATACAACTATCTTGCAATTCTCCTGAACTGCTGGAAAAATCACTGTTAATTAATTTTTCCCAAGTATTGCAATTTCAAACATCACTTGCCTTTTTTTCTCTGTGTCTCTCTAGCTGTGTGAACCTTGAATCAGGATATCAAACTGAAATTTGATCTTTAAGTAAAAGTAGACTATAAGTAGAACATAAATTCTTCTACTTCAGCTCAATGTACCAAAATTCCAGGTAGATGTTAGTGAAACTACTTTCAGCCAGTGGAAATTTGGCAGTTCCTTATGTTAGAACATGCATTCAAGAAAAGTACTACCCAAAGATTTTTCAAGAAGAGGTTTGAGAAAACTGGAAATGTAAAGAAAAGGAGTCAACAAAATATGGAAGGAAGAGAAAAAAATTAGCGATCATATCATGAATTGTTGATGATCTTCACGTAAGTACAAGGAAAATTGCAATTGATACATCTGCAAAATCGTGTTTGATTCATACATAACTCCAAATGAAAAATTGTTTGAACTTCTGCTGTGAAATACAGTTTTTTCGAATTGAGTTCGTTTCGTTACCCGATCTGTCCAGTAAAGGAATGAAAAAACGTTTTTCTTTTATGCATTTTTCATATATTTCCAAATATAACACTTTCTGCAAGCTCATATGGGTATATATTGGTAAGGAAATATTCGAAGCTTGTTCATTGGATGTAACTGAAGAAAAATAGTTCTGATTGTGAATGTCTCTTCATGAAAAATGAGTCATGCGCAAAATTATGGATATAGAATAAAACTTTTCATTTTCCGGTAGAACAATTATTGTTTTATAAAAAATGAGTGTTTTTGAGACGTTTGCTGTTTCATGCCACATAACTCATTTTGCTCTCTACAACTTTCATTTGGTAGACATATTTTCTTTCTCTTACGTATCATTCTGTTACACATTATATGGCACAGAATTTTTTTATGGAAATAATGTTACGTGAAACTCTAGTGAATGAATGAAATATTTTGTTCTCTACATGCAAGAAAATTCAGAAGACATCTTTTTTGTAGTAGTCCCATATAGATGTTCGTGAGATTTGATAGTGATCGTTTTATTGATTTGAGAATGGATATACCTGATATAGAGAGAGTCCAAGGTATACCCCTAGAAAGTCAGGATATACCGGATTCCATGTAGTTGCGGGTCGGTCTATATTGGAACCACGAAAAGAAGTATACGAGGTCCGGCTATTAAATAACAGGACTGCGCGCCTAGAGGGCGCCCTAGAGGGTTGGGGAAAAAACGAGGACTGCGTTGGGTGTCTGGAAATCTTCTCTATTCGCGTACCAGTCTCAAATTCTTCACTACATTGAAAAAAACATCGAGTGAGTGCTATAAATTGTTGCAAGAGGTTTATGGGGACAATTTTCTATTTCGTGCGTGTGTTTTTGATTGGTGTAAACGCTTCAGTGAGGGCCGAGAGAGCAAGGTTGACCAAATCATAATTCAAGGCAATGAAGAAAGGTTAGTTGGGTAACAGGATCAATTTTTTCTTAAAAAAAACAATTGTTTTTTGCCAACGTTTCGAATTCAATTAAATTTTTCCTCGGGGCTCGAAAAGTAATTTTTTCGTGTTGATGATATTACTATTTTGAAAACTATGAGATATATTAGATACATATTTAAAAGTAAAATAAACATTGCAACAACCAAATATCCGAAACCACACCAACACAAAACGACATGAAACGTTTGTTTCATGTCATTTCGTGTTTTCAATAGAGAAAGCTGTTGTTGGGATTCTGTTAACTGTTTGATGAAAATCTCACAATAAATTGTTATTTGAAAATCTTATGGATTTTCATCAAGTATCTGCCAAGGTCATCACATATAATGAGTGAAAATAAAACACAAAAAAAATAAGAAAAAAATAACGATGGAATGAAGAATAAAGAGAACTTATGTGAACTATTTCACTAGGATACCAAAATCAATTTTTGGGGAACTATATCAGAAAATATGTTAATAAAATATTGAAAGAATACACCACAAATTCACCTGATAACACACGTTTGAGAACAGAATTGGAATTGGGTTGAAGTGGAAAATTTACCTCCGTATAATTCAATAAAGGTACAGAAACAGCTCGTCATCGTCATGTAATGTATTGGATCGCAATAGGTAAGGAATAATGGACAATTTGAACCATAATAGTATAACAAACTTCAACAAACTAGGAAGATGAGCAGTAGGTGATTAACAAATGAGGATGTAAAGAAGTAAAGAAGCAGCCTTTACAATTCCAGCGACACGATTGTGCCAAGATATATTGGTGTCCATTTTAATCTTCAACAAACTTATCAAAGCAGAAAACGGAATTGCCGTATGAAGATAAGTTAGCTCTTTCGAATCAGATCCAATTCCAATTCTTTTCGAACACCATTGAATAACCAGGTCATATAACTGACTTTAAAAACACCAAACAAATAATTGCCGCCGCAACAACTCTGCTCGTCAGAATAATCCACGAGCAATCCAGCTGTCTCAACAAATAATAATTAAAAGATATCTGGAAAAAATTCACCATCCTCTCTTTTCATTTTTGGCATCGCTTCCTTTCATTTCCTCACTCATTTCCTGATTGTGACTGGATTTGAGAGTTGACATATTGGGACTATGTTCGAATGAAATAAAATTTACGGTTTGGAATGAATATAGAAAACTCGATATGGTAATAAAAAACGATGGATGAAGTCAACGCCAACAACTTTTTTCGTGTGAAATATTGAGTTTCAAATGGACTTTCACAAGATTTCATATGGAAGTTCACAAAATTGTTCAAAAAACATTTTTGTCGAATCAGTTTTCTATTTCTTAATTCAATTTATTTCAGACAACGTTTCCATCTTGCCAGTTCACACTGGTGGGTCATCCTTATTGGTGAATCAATTTCGAGCGATGTTTATGAAAAAATATATTTCAATAATTCGATCTTGGATTTTAAGTTGCATTCATATGATCTTGCCGTCCATATCACTGATAATTACATTTGGTGTGGCACGATATAACAGAAAAACAGGAAATCTTCCACCAATGACTTTAAATTTGAACAAATTTGAAAATTCTGTAACGCAAGTTGAGAACAATGGGTACGGTTACACAGATGTCTTAGAAAGCTATGGATATTTGTTCAGTGAAGTGAATAATCTGACAGAAAATACGCTGGAATTGGTGAGTTGATTTGATTTCTCCACAATTATTGCTATTTCATTGGCTTATTCTTACCAGAAAATTATTTCTTTACAAAGGGTCTTTTATCAGGCGCTGCCAATCTTTATATTCGAATAAAACAAAATGTGTGTGGAAATTTTATTAGTTCGAAAGACCTACTGATGCTATTAGGTGTGGAATGTGTTATGTTGGTTTTGAGGACCGCATACACCTACGACACAAGGAAACCCTACAAGAAATAGTCTAACGGTGTCAATTCGCATGATCTCTGTGGCCAGTTCACATTACCTCCACGTGAGATAATGCCCTCAAATCGCTCATGCAGAACATCCAATGTGGTATGAGCTGTGTGGCACGTAGTGCTTTCCTAGCGATACACCACATGTTGTTGGTGCCCATATCATCCAATTTAGGCCAGAAGAAGTTGGTAATGATTGACCTATAGTAATCAACGTTGACAGTAATGGCCTGGCCGACGCCTTTCTCAAAGAAATATTGACCGATGACGTCGCCACCCCAAAATCCACATCAAACAGTAACTTTTTCGGGATGCGTTGGACGCTCTTTGATCACATGTGAATTGGTATCGTCCCAAATTGGACAATTTTGTTTGTTCACGTACCCATTCATCCAGAAATGGGCCTCAGCGCTAGAGATGAATTTTCCAGAAAGTTTTCCAGAAAAAATGTTTGGGATTTCATGAAAATGGAGGAATATTCATTCGTAAATATACATATAGTTCTTATAATTCACCCAGACGTGATTATGAGTTGAAAAGTGAAAAGTTTCTTGATTATCGCAATCGCAATTGTTAGAAAGTTTGATAAAGTTTCGCACTATCTGAGCCACACTCAAAATCATATTTCTCAATACAGATTAGAATAGTTCATGGAATTTGGGTCACAGCTATTTTCCGAGTTCAACGGTCATGATCTGCAGTCATGAAAACCTTATGATCACGGTCAACATACCTTTGACAATATAGCTTTGATAAACTTACATTCGTTCGTGAAAGTTTACAGTATTTGATCAACTTAGTTTACTGAAATACGAATTATACATCGAGTTTCGAATCATTCAACTTTTTTTTAAATATTGATATAATTCCAGTTTGTGACATCAGAATGTTCTTTATCATGAAGCAGTATATCTATATTATGAGTAGAAAAAATGGAAGTTCTGCCTTCAGCTTGTCAAGTAATGATGCGTAGTATGCTCCTGTAATGGTTTCTCCTTTCTGAAGACAGTTGATTGAAATAAATCCAGTTATTGTTTTTTTGAAGCCGGTTCCCCCTTTGCAGTCCACTGCTTGGACTGTATTTTTGTATCGAGCGTTTAATGGTGTCTCCTAGTTTGATCTACAGTTAGTAATCGGCGCCAGCTTCCTCATGCCTAAATGTTGATTTGATATGTGTCAAACACGTTCTTTTGACATGTTCATAACCTCTGCTATCTCTCTCACTTCAATTCGACGGTCGTCTACCACCATTTGGTGAATTTTGGCGATGTTCTCATCGGTAGTTGCTGTTCTTGGACGTCTTGAAGGTTCATCGTCTCCTAAACTTTACGGCCACGTTCAAGTTCAGCCGCCCAAAATTTCACTGTGGTAAATGATGGTGTTCCCATACACCCAATTCAACTCATCTTCGATTTTCGTAGGCATATTGCCTTTTAAAAACGTATATTCAATGACAGCTCGAAACTCGATTTTGTCCATTTCCATGAAAACACTCACATCAAATCACTTAAACGGCTGTAACATAACAACTGCGCTTCCAAAGTGGCTGAAACTTTGGTGATTAACTGTCAACAGATGAACATCGGAATTCATTAGCTTTCAATTACACAAGTGCTGCTATCTTCATGTTGGGGTCGAAAACATTTCAGACCAACCTCGTACAAGGTGGGTTTTATAGAGTTAAGGCATTTTCATATACCCTAACATGAAGAGCTCAGCTCATTATAAGATGGGATGAAGTTAGTCCAGCATTCTGGTGTGCACTTTTGGTACGTACGACCAGCAGGTGCACAGTCGCTGCCGGGTCTCTTTAAATTGAGATGCAACAGGCCTTCACGTGGAATTAGGAAATACTGTTGGACCTTGGTAACTGTTTCTTTGTTGAACCAGCTCCGGATCAACTTCAGAATTTGGTCTCTCTTCTAGCTTTCTCTTATCTCATCTGGTCTAAAATCTATCTTAGAGTTCCAGGAAGTGTCATGCCAAGTTTCTCCTTTGTTCAGGATTGCAGGCTTTAAGCCACATACAGGCCGTTTCTTGCTATATTCTAAATCGTAACAGATACGAGGACGATTAGATGGGAAAAAAGGTAACTGTCATTGGAAACAATACAAGGGTCCAAACAAATTTACGAGGACTCTCGCTTTTCGCGAGTTATACGGGAAAATGCTGTGTTTCGTTTTTCTCGAATGGAATTGTTATTTCGAAGAATATCAAAAAATGGAAAAAAATGTTATTGTATTCGAACTGTACTGTAACGATGTAATAATAAATATTCGACGAAACGTTTCTTGTCTATATGGCCACCATTAACTGTTTTTTTTTTAATAAGGACCTGTATTTTTTATCACAGATATTGATAAAGCAATAAATTCACAATCCAATGGTATGTCATATTTGTTATTTTTGTTCCGTTTCATTTGAAATAACATCATCAGTGACAATAATTTTGAATTACGGTCCTGCCGTTACTTCTTTTGTAAATTGTTTCGATTTCTTTAAAATATAATTCAGACAATCCCATAAACACGACAGGTAGGCACCCTAACACTAAGACAATTCGTACTTTTTCGTTTTGGAATTATAATTCTCAATATTGAAAGTAACGAAAATATCAGTTTTTGGTCAAAATTCTATTGTTGTATAATTTGGGATGATCAAATAGCATTTCACTTTATTTACCATTTCAAACGCGTAGGCTTTGCTTTGTTTCTATAGCAGGAAGAATGAATGCGTTGTTGATATATGTTGAGAACTGTCATGTTGAGAACTGTCAGACGTTTATGAACATATCAAAGATGCATTCAAATGATGAAAGGAATGATATGTTATTTAGTTATGCAAAATCAAATAGAAATCCTCTTTTGGCAGGGAATATGTATGTTGAGCTATACCCGAATCGTTGTATTTTGAACATTCAAATATTTGGACGATTAGAAAGAAATTTGAGGGACTATGGTGCATTTGACAGAAAGAAACAGTAAAGGAACATTCAGATGCAATATTCCCAAGAAAATGGATTGGAAACAATGGATCAATTAACTGGCCAGCTCGATCCCCAGATCTTACTCCTTTAGATTTTTTTGTCTGGGGATACATAAAGGATAACATTTTTTCAAAACCAAGTACAGATATAGACCATCTCAAGCAAAAAATAAGAGATGCATGTATTAGTATTACACCTACTATGCTAGAAAATTACCACAGACATTATTTGGACTGACAACTTGTGTGCACTTCACACAAGTCACACAAGGTCGTCAATTCAAATATTTAATGTGGATTGCCATGTAGCTTTGATTTTCCGTATTGGTTTCATTTTTCCCAAAATTTCATGATTGTTGTTCATTATTGTTGATTGTTGTTAATGATGATGGTGGTTATAATGAAACGCTATAAAAATATCAAATGTGATATACCCTTGGATTGTAAATTTATTGCTTTATCAATATCTGTAATAAAAAAGACAGGTCAGTATTTAAAAAAAAAGTTGATAGTGGCCATGTTGACACGAAACGTTTTGTCGAATATTTATTATTACATTGTCATACTACACTTCAAATTTTTCTTTTCCATTTTTTAATATTCTCACAGTTCCATTCGAAAAAAACAAAAACCAGCATTTTTGGTTTTCCCCGTATAATTCGAGAAAAGCCACAGTCCCCGTGAATTTTCTTCGACCATTGTATTTCGATGACAGTTACCTTTTTTCCTATTTAATCGTCTTCGTATCTGTTACGGTTTAGAATATAGTTATGTTACCACATGATAAAAGAAACCTCCTGCAATGAGCAATGATATTCGTGTTTTGTTAATAATTGAAGACTGCATTAAGAAACACAACACATATCTATAACCTATTGAAATATTGACCAAAATGTATACAACTTCAGAAGTTGCCATCACATTCAAAACTTTATTTTGAATTTCAGACAAGAACGAATCCCAATCTGGTACGAAGGAGTTACATCGTTGGTGCATCTTTCGAATTTATCGACATACCTTTCGTAGGAACAACAGGAAACATCACAGCATGGTTCAATAATGATCCATTTCATAGTCCTGGTATATCTTTAGGACTTGTATTGGACAGTATTTATCGAAAGTTATGTAATGGAAGCAGCATTGAATTCACGAATCACCCATTGCCTTATATGGTTAAAACCGAAATAATTGAACTTTTTTTTGGCCAGTCTGTAGGGTATCAACTGGCAATAAATGTCGTCTTCAGTATGACCTTTGTCTCCGCGTTCTACGTCATTTTCATTGTCAAAGAGATCAAATGTGGCTCTAAACACTTACAGTTTATCTCAGGAGTTAAAGTCCTCGTATTTTGGATGACGAATATTTTGTGCGATTCGTTGACGTACGCGTTGACAATTTCATTGTTTCTTATCACGATGACATTCTTTCAGGAAGGAGGTTACAGCAGTTCTGTTGACTTCGGTAAGTAGTATACATTTTACAAGATATTTGACGTATCAATAAGTGGCATTGGGGGATCGAATATGAGTCGAAATCTTTCCCCGAGTACCCGTTCAAAAAAATTTTTACTGTTTTCATTACACAAAGAAAAAGCCAATGTAGAAAGTATTCTTCAATATTTGAGTATCCTGGTTTCTCTTAGTAGCATGAAAGGAAAAAAGATCACTGATGCAATATGGGGAGGATACCGTGAGACACCTGAGCTTAATATATAACTGCTGTCTGCAGGTGTATGAGGTCTGTTAAAGAAATTAGATGGAGGTTTGAATTTCGCGAAGTGTTTTGCGTGTTTGGCGATTTTCTGTTATCGAAAACAATGGATCAAAGAATTTGCATTAAATTTTGTGTGAAAAATGGAATTCAGTGCTCAAAAGCATTCGGAATGTTGATAGTGGTATACAGTGATTGTATTCTGAGTCAAAAAAAGGTTTACAAGCGGTACATGCTTTTCACAGAAGGTGGAGAAGGTGTGAAAGACGCGCTTTTCCTGAACGCTCCAGCACATAAATAACCGATGCGAATGTTGAAAAGGTGAAGAAAACTATTATGGAAAATCGTCAAATCACTATTAGACAAGTTCCTTAAAATAATTGGACCATCAGTTGGCTCATGACATGCGATTATTTCGAAAATTTTGAGCATGAAGCATGTGGTTGTGTGGTTCATTCCAAAATTGCTGAATTTTCAGCAAAAAAAACCTTTCGCCTAAGCACTACTCACGAATTGTTTGAAATAGTCAAAATTGGTGACGAATCATGGATATACGGTTACGAAATCGAAACCAAAGTCCAATCGTCCCAATGGAGGAGCCCAGGAGAGCCAAGACAAAAAAACACATCCATTTCGATCGAATATCAAGGTTTTGCTCACTTTTTTTTCGATTAACTCGTCACTCATCATGGCTGTTAGTGATTTTTTCGGGAGAGAACACACCGTAATCATTTCTCGGCCACCGTATTTACCAGATTTGCCCCTCTGTGACTTTTTCCTATTCCTAAGATTGAAGAGGCCCATAAAAAGACGATGATTGATGAAATGAAAACCGGTTCGCTGAGAGAGTTCAAGGACATACCAAAAGTGCATATCAGAACTACGTCGAGGATTGGAAAAAACGCTGATACAAGTGTTTTATACAGGGTGTTTCAAATTCGATCCTCACCATTAAGATCTTGGAAACTACGAGAGATACGAAGATAGTTGAATTGGGGCAAAGTTGCGCATTTATCTGACTGAAAATGTGCCGTTGAGAAATTTCTGAAATTCCGAGTATATCCGGAGATATCCGAAAAAAAACGGAAAATGAAAAATGTCTTACGAAATCTGAGAGGACATTTAATAGGACTTCATGTTCATACCCAATTAGTATTGAATAATACCACCACAACGCTAAGTTGAAACTGGAGTATGTTGATGACTATTCAAGCAGTTGAAAAACGATCAAAAACTATTTTCACTGATATATTTGAATATATTTACTACCCGCAATCTGAATAAGAATAAATCGTAATGGAGAAATGTAAGGAAAATCTGTGACGTTTTTGAAAACCTATTAAAAAGCTTCGACCATTTTCTTGAATACTGACTTAATTATATATTATACTTATTATAGATATGTCAGAAAAAATTTTATAGACAGGGTTTTTCCTAAAACAAAAGTATTCAACTTGAAACTTCGAAAAAATTGGTGCTTTGTTGCTTTCTGCATCTTAATAAGAGCAAAACGAAATATTTACACCAATTTGAACAATTTTGTTTTTCGAAAATGATGAAATTGGTCACCCTGTATATAATTTGTGATTATAGAAGATGCTGAAAATTCAGTCACGAATAATTAATTACAAATTGATATTTTATATTTCATATGATGTTTGAATTCAATATTGGTCATTGTGACCTAAATTTTAGTTTTCTGGTGAAATTAAACATTTTTTTCAGGTCGGATGCTAATTATACTACTAAGCTTTGCATGGTCATTTTTACCCATGATATATATTGCCAGCTACTTATTCAAAGAACCTTCAAGTGGATATAGTAAACTTGTTTTATTTGGGATTTTTACAGGTAAGCAAAGTTATATTATGAATCGATTGAGAACACTCACTATTCATTTTACCCAAAAATAGTCAACCTTTCAATACCTTTCGTTTCTTTCAGGCAACGTACTATTTATAATGGTTCAAATATTCTCAACTTCTGGTTTGAAATTCAAAAATATCGCAGAATGGCTACATTGGATACTGCTAGTGACTCCCCATTATTGTCTAGCTACCGCCTTCAGTGAGAGTTTCAAAGTATATTCATTCAATGAGGTTTGCAAGCGTTTATTTGAGAGCTGTGCACTCATGCATATTTCGGAAGACGAGTGCTTCGATATAATTGGTTCGAAGGAAATCACGGATGTATGCACAGGTGGGAAAATTATATCTTTATTTTTAAGAGCAGCCGTATCATGGTCCTGATAAAATTTCTAATAATAATTACGTGTTTCATGAACAGTGCAACCCAATGTCTATCAAACACTAGATAGTTAATGGAATATTTGAAAAACGGTGCCTACGGTGATCTGATGACCAAAGAATGAAAAATGGAAATTTGTATTTGTAACTGACGTTACTACAATTTTGTCCTGCAAGGACATTTTCAAACAAATAAAATAAACTGAAATAACTAACAATGTACACCGTTATACAGTGTGTTCGCAAAGTATGGAATAAATTCGATATTTCCAAAAACAAAGGTCGTTTTACAAAAACCTGAAACACTTCGATTTTTAATTTTAATATTCTACATTCTACAACAAAATTTCATTGAATCATTCATTGATCAATATTAATATGATGACGTCATCGGTAATTTTTTTAAGTGCAACACCCTGTATTTGGTGTCAGTTTTAGATAATCCGTAACCAGCTGATTACGAAAAGGTATACTTGGGGTCTAACGGACAGAATTTGAAAGATGTGCGCTCAGAAAATAAGAAATTAATTTATTGTTTTATATTTTTTTTCTAATGATTAATTTAACAATGGGAAAGTAATCCAGTAATAAATAAATGACTTCATTATAAATGTTCGAAATGTAGTCCTTGCTGTATTTGACAGTAACCTAAACGTTGAATAAATTCTTGTTGAACCTTGTTTATGGTTTCTTGACAAATATTGTTTATTTTTGTTCGAATTATCTCTTTTAATTCTTGAATATTTGCTGGTTTCGTTTCATAAACAACATTCTTCAGATGGCCCCACATAAAGTAATCCAACGGATTCAAGTTTGGCGACCTCGCTGGCCATTCAATAGGTCCACGTCTACCAATCCATCGGTTCGTAAACATTTGGTCCAGATACCTTCGAACATCTGCATCATAATGTGGAGGCGCACCATTCTGTTGAAACCATAAACTTTCATCAAAACTTCCAGGATTAATTCTACTGGGGAATAAATTAATTGAAGTAGGTACAAGATATCCCCTCAAAAAACTGAAGGTATGTTGGCCCGTCTGAAGTAAAGTACCGTCGAAAAAGTAGGGTCCGATGATCCTGTTTCTTACAATGCCAACCTTTTGCGGGTATTGTGTATGATACTCACGCATACAGTGGCTCAGTACCTACAATTCTGACGGTTGACCCCACCATTCAATGTAAAAGTGGCTTCATCAGAAAATATTATATTTTTTACGAAGAAACGGTCTTGGTGACAGTTATCCATCATGGCTTCACAAAATTCTATTCTTCTATTTGGATCATCCTCGTTTAATTCCTGTAGAAGTTCGATTTTAAAAGGATGCCATTTTTCTAATTTTAATACTTTGTGTACAGTTGTTTTACTGACATCGAAATCACGACTAACCTTACGAATAGAAGTGTGCACATCTCCTTCAAAAGCAAGTAGAACATCTAGTTTTGTATCATCAATTACAAAAGGACGACCTGATTTGCGTGCATTTTCAATTGTATCAGTTTTTCGAAATTTCTTCTCAATCTTTCTCAGTTATGCGTCTTTCTGGATATTTTTCATTAAATAAGTTACACACTTCCATCTGAGTTCGCGATCTGTCTTCATAGTTAATCATCATAAGTATTTCAATTCTTTGCTTTATACTTAAATTCATTACTACTTCAAATTAATCCGAAGCAATAGTAAAGAAAATTCACGAATTAATACAATAACTACTGTCCTATTCAACAGTTACTGAACGTCAATCGAAATAATGACATTTCACAATAACAAAAAAAACTAGCCGCCTAGTTTTTTGAAATTAGTAAGAAATACTTGTTAGCACGGTTACTGTCAACTACAGCAAGGACTACAGTTCGAACATTTAAAATAAAGTCATGTATTCATTACTGGATTACTTTCCTATTGTTAAATTCATCATTAGAAAAAAATATGAAATAATTAATTAATTTCTACTTTTATCTATTAGATTTCAATAAAATTTATTTTATAAGCGCACATCTTTCAAATTCTGTCCGTTAGACCCCAAGTATCATACCTTTTCGGAATCAGCTCGTTACGGATTATCTAAAACTTACACCAAATACAGGGTGTTGCATTTAAAAAAATTACCGATGACGTCATGACATTAATATGGATTACCCTGTATAATGAAATTTTGTTGTAAAATGTAGAATATTAAAAAATAGAGGTAGGTGTTTCAGGTTTTGGTAAAACGACCTTTGTTTTTGGAACTATCGAATTTATTCCATACTTTGCGGACACACTGTATATCCTAACAATCACTGTCGATAATTGTATTCCACCTAAACAGTATTTCACTCCGGACAATGTGACCGAAATTTCTCAAATCGGTATACTGACGAAACAACTACTTTTATATGAACATTGAATTATACAAACACTTTTTTTCCTATTCAGTTTATACTTCAAACATTCACCATGGAATTGAACCAGATGTCACTCACACGAGTTCCTACTTATTCACCATACTCAAACACATGTTCATGTAGCTGCAGTTTAGTGAGAATGTATCATCATTTCCACCAACCGATTTCCTATTAGAGTCTTTGAAGTCCACAATTACAACTTCATGTCACGAATGAGTTGAATCTACTCACGTCATCATTGAGTAGTTGAATTTACTCGTGTTATCCCTGAATGATCATTATTATTATCATTATGGAGGTGTCGTCAATGTACCTCAACCAGACTTGGAACTTCTCTTCAACTACTTGCGAATAAAAATATTCAATGCCGTCGAACCGCCTGGTTGTAGCCGGGCGGTTCGACGTGGGTGCTTTGTTCACTCAGTCAATCGGCCGATGTGTGAGTCGATAGTTCAAGCCGCAGGCAGAACGCTCGATATTCATTCGCTGTTTTCCAACCCGTGAAAGGTAAGACGTCGTTAGTCTTAGCTCGTACTAGGTTCGACTTCTAAGGGTAGTCGTTCGTAGAGGTGCGATAGTTGTTTAAGGAAAAGAAATATTCTAAACATAACATAAACATATAATTTATCGAAAATAATACAGATCATTATCAAAACTACTTCTTACCTTTCATTATACTCTTTCTTTTTCAACTTATATTCAAAATAACAACTTTTTCAGACCTGAATATTTCATATTTTCAATGGGACTCTCCAGGGATAGGAAAAAACTTGTTTTTCTCATGTTTCACAGGATTTTCTTCGTATATTATACTTTTCTCCATTGAGTATGGAGTATTTTCTCGACTCACTTCCTATTTCGAAAAATATGTCTCTATTCATCAGCCGGTTAAAATCATGGAAGAGGATTCTGACGTCATTGATGAAAAAGAAAGGATTTCTAATGCCACTGAAATGGATATACGTTTAACCTACCAACTAGCTGTTAGAGATCTAACCAAATTTTATAAAAAATCCCTGGCAGTGAATGGATTATGCCTAGGAGTGAAAAAGTATGAATGTTTTGGACTTCTCGGAGTAAACGGAGCTGGTAAAACTTCAACATTCAAAATGATAACTGGGGATGTAAAAATCTCCTACGGTGATGGTTGGGTAAGTAGTTACTGAAGATATGTTTCAAAAGTAAGCGAAAATGTGATTCTAAAATCACCAAATACTGAAAAAGGTTAGATATGAGAACAAAGTTTCTTGAAAACTGGTGAACCGAAAGTCAAAATACTAACTGACGATTACGTTGTTGTGAGAGTGACAATTGGTAGTTTGGATGGGTGATTGTTAAGAAGTACATAACTCGGTCGAATTTATGTTATTTTGAGAAAGACACAAAACAGTCTGAACCAAATAGTGTTGTAATTGAAAAGTAAAAAAAATTGACATATTTCACATACCTAGATGCGAAAATCATATGATTTTCACATTCAATCATTTACATTTTCTGAAAAAAAAATACATTTCATTTTTAGTAAACTTTTGAACTATTACAATAGAGAGACGACCTGTTTCTTTTCACCAAATAGAACTTACTCATCCTCTTCAGCTGTAGTATCATAAATCGTAGTCCAATAGAACCAGGCTCCTTTTTCCTTCCATTTTACTATATACTCAAAAATCTCAAGAACGAGGTTTTAATGATGAACGAAAATGTTTCCTACTTATTCACCGAAATTCAAACACCTGTTCATGCAGCTACAGTTTCGTAGGAATGTATCATCTTTCCCTACAACCGATTTCCTCGAGTCTTTGAATCATACCAGATACTCTTTAGGACAACAAGAGGATTATTCCGAATTCTTGGGGTCCTTGTTGAATACTCTTCGTGAGCCAAACAATAGCAGAATAAATACTACTGACCTCCTGGAATTAATGATTCCGTACAGTCTATCTCGTCTTGTGTTAAAAGATCTTTTGCTACAAAAATCCTCACTTGTTTACTTTGCAGTGAATGTTCAAGAGGTAGCGAAAACGTATGTGATTTTGTGAAACTTCAACAAGCGTTTCCTAATACGACTTATAACCAGTCCGAACAAACCTTATTGTTAAATCATCTGAAAATGGAACTTGTAACAGGTGATGATCGACTGTATTGCCAAACATGCGCCAAACTAACTGAATGTTGTAAGAAAAGAAGTATAGCTGAGGCACCAGTCAATCTAATGATAACACTGATGATCTTCAAAAATGACTCAACTTCTGACTGAAGCACCAAACTCATACGAAGGTTCGAAATAGATGAACACTTCAATCTAGCAGACCACTATTATAATCCATGCAGTCATTGTTCACTGTGGTTCTGGCGTTGAATCAGGTCATTATTACGCCTTTGTCAAAGACGAAACGGACTGGTTTAAGTTTGACGATAGTCATGTCACTAAGTGTTCTGGCGATATATTGAATTTATTGGAGCCTCTGGAGACACTCTAAATTTTGTTTTATGAGAGAGAGGACATTGGCAGATCAAGATCTTCAGATTATGTGTTGCCGCAGGTTTTTCCGTGTTTTCCTGCAGCTAAAAAAGCAAATGTGCCACTGGAATCAATGAAGTCGCCGCTAAGCGCCAATTAATTTTGGTTGTTGTTTTATAATTTCATAATTTTTATTTTGGAAGTGTTATTTCATTGGAAAATGTATGATTTTTAGTTTTCACTTCGAAAATAATTCAACTGTTGACTTTTCAATAATACACTTGACAATTGACACAGCCGTCTTGTTTCAAGGGTAACCAACAATAAATAATTCATCAGGTAACCGTTGTCAAAAATTCCAGTTGTAGCTATTGATACCTGGTTATTTTTGGAAAATATTTTGAATATGTAATAATGACCCGAGTAAAGGATCTGGTTAGAAAAAACTCCTAATGAATATCGATTTTTACGTATGAATGAAAATCGTCTATAAAATTTCGTTTCCTGGATGAGATAGTGAAAAACACATTTTCGTCGTATTGTTTATTCTTATTGATCGACATCTGTCTATTTTGAAACACTTATGATTCTTCAAATCCAAATGTACTTTAGTAGGTACCCAAAAATTGACGAAGTAATGTGAACTTTCATTACCAGAGATGATAGTGTCATAGCAGTTTTTCGAATGTGTTGGTTTTGTTTGCAGATTTTGCGGTAAAAATATCAAAGGAGACGAAAATGGGAGTGAGCTTTCGAAGATCGGGTCTTCGACAAAGCACTCTGTCTGAAGTTGTTGATCAATGCAACACACAATATAATGCTTGTAATTATTATTATAGATAGTGCTACTGTTACTACTACCACTCTTAGTATTTCGATAGGAAAATTCCCGGTTTTTGATATCGTCACTAATCGTTTAATACTAGTAGATCTTTTTTTGTACCGGTAGTTTCCAAAAATTTTAGTGTAATATATGGTGCCATCACTATATGGATTTTTTATATATTCACAATAAATACCTATTCAAGAAAACCTCTTGCGTATTTGCATACTCTGTAGCTTAAATGTTTCAGGTTTTGGACACTTTAAATGTAGAGTGTTCGTCAATGTTGTCTTAAAAAAAATTAAAAACAAACTGCGAAAAACCTGGTTATTGTTTCTAGGTTACCGGAAAGAGTATAAAAAACCAACTGGCGGAAGCTCAAAAATGTATCGGTTATTGTCCGCAATTTGATGCTCTCCTAGATGACATGACGGTACACGAGACAATCGTAATGTTTTCCTTATTGAGAGGGATTAGACTGGAAAATGTCTATAATTTACCACGGTTTCTGGCTAAGGAATTTGACTTTCAGAGACATCTGAATAAGAAGGCAAAAGAATTGAGCGGTGGAAATAAGAGAAAAGTGAGCACAGCAATTTCATTAATAGGAGATCCTCCAGTGTTATATCTTGATGAGCCAACTACAGGTAAGTTTATTGCTAATACTGTAGTATTCAGTTAGTTAGTACGATCTGAAAGAACACCGATTTCGGTTATTTTATTAAGAGTCCAATAAATATACTCTTACAACTCACAAGAATTATCATTAACACGCATGAGCTCACATCTTGCATTTATGGTACCCAACAAAAGTGTGAGAGATGTCTTGAACAACTGATAGTGCTCTGGCGGAGTCGCTTCATCATAAAAACTGGTTGAGCTAGACTCGACAAAAGCGGGTTACTTCAGGAAACTCCAGGGTGAATCCATGAAACCCCATCAGGCTACTCATCAGGTCACTCATTTGTTTTATATAGATGACTTTAAACTTCATGCCTACGGAGAATAGGACTTGCATCAGCCCTTAAGAGTGGCGGAAAGAGTACACGTATGAATCGGTATGGAATTAAAAAATACAAATGTTCAATGGTATATCTTAGAAGAAGATGATGAACAGCTAGTAGATAGAAGTATCCTGCACCATCGGTATGCCAGACAGACGTATACTTATGGACAACGCCACTCGCAAAAGGTAACTCAGTGAAGAATTCTCTTCACAAGTATCAGCACAAACTCCGACAGGTCTGGTCATCACAACTGTCGAGGAAATGGAAGTTGCTGTTATCGATATGCTCATCGTTCCGATCTTACTCTAACTACTTTGGACTAGTGACATTGACTAGTGAGAATTCATATCATGTCGATGCAAAAACCCAAACAATGAGTACTTTCGAGTTTGGAGTACCTACATAACAGAATCGTACAGGACAAAGCCTGTAAAGTCATGAAAGTTCTGTGATCTTTATCCACATGTACCGTACTCATGGCAGACCAAGAATTGGAGCATTACTCTTCGAGACTCGAGTGGCCGATGAACTTGATTTGTTTTTCGATACTGAAAGAGGTGACCACAACTCTTTTACCGAGTTTGGAACCTGTTCAGCAGAAGGTCCACATCAAAACCGCAGAAATCAGTTTATTCATGTGACTCTACAAGAATGAGTTGATCATGAGGTGTTTTTATACAACATTGAAGACATCGGCTCGATCAAGTGGATTCAAGTAGAAAACTGCGGAGTTCATCAAGAGCTGCTAGGATGATGTTTTCAACACCTTGACCCGCGAAATCCATCTCATTCTTTGAATAGCCGACTATATGTCATTATATCCTCACAAGTTATGTCTCTCAAAATGTTAGTGCTTAACTATTTTTCATAGGAATGGATCCAGCTGCTAAACGTTATTTCTGGAATGCACTCTGTAAAATTCGGGACAACGGCAAATGCATAGTCCTTACGTCACATAGTATGGAAGAATGTGAAGCTCTTTGCACACGACTTGCCATCATGGTTAATGGAAATTTTCGATGTTTGGGGTCTACCCAACATCTGAAGAACAAATTCGCAGAAGGTTATACTTTGACAATCAAGTTGAGAAAACTATCAGACTTTTCCGGTTCCCAACGTTCCGTAGCAGAACCTATCGAAAAGTTCATAGAAGAACACTTCCCAAAAGCTCAAATGAGAGAGAAACATCAAGAGCTGGTAACGTACTACATTACTGATAAGTCGATTCCTTTGTCGAAAATGTTTGGTGTCCTTGAAAAAGCGAAACGAAGTGATCTCAATATCGAGGATTATTCCTTGGGACAGAGTAGTCTTGAACAAGTGAGTATGTTGGTAATAGTTGAAGTTTTATTGCACTGATAAAAACATTCAAATTCAAATTGAATATTATTTACTATTGTACTACTTGTTAGCAATAAGGAAAAATGATACACGTTCCGCCCGATACCTTTTATTATTACATTCTTGTCTCTGTGACTTCACAAAATAATCAACCCCGATATCCTACGAATCCCAATAATAACTGTTCATTCGTCGTCAATCCTCATTACAGCGGTATTATGAAACGTTCAGTATCATCATTCTCTATGGTAGTCTAATTCAAGAATTTCAATTCACGTTCAATATACTTCTCATTTAGGCAAATTCATAGATGAGATGCACATTACGATGAATTATAAAAATGCAAGATTGAATGATGGAGTATTTTTAACAAGCTTCACTTGTATGTTTATTTGCTTGTAACCGACTTCTTTGGAACTCGATTTAGACTCATTTTAATCAGACATATTTATTTTAAACTTTGTACACTTATTAGGAATCGCTGAAAATACAATAATTTCATAAGTTTATCTCATTATCCTGATTAAGATTGTCAGGATTGAATAATTTCCTAACACAGTCTCTGTGTGATAGCAAATAAGACAATCACACTGTCTGAAAAGTGTAATAGCAACAGAAAGTAAAAACTAAAAAGTAATTCGAAACTTATTCAAAATTGTGTTCAACATCGATTGAAGTCCTATGACTCACAATAGCTGCCTGAGGGAGCAGATGTCTGTCAACCCCAGCGAAACTGTGATATTACCCTTCACCAGGAGGAGAAAATCGGACCATTTAACGCTACTCTTCCTCAATGGTGAGGTCATTCCATTTGGAACGGAGGTGAAATATCTTGACATTGTCCTTGATAAAAAAACTCACCTGGAACGCTCACTTGGAAAAAGTTTTACACAAAGCCAGACTGTCCCTATGGACATGTGGAAGTATTTCTGGTAAAACTTGGGGTAAGATCCCAAACAAATCCATTGGATATATGAGATGATTTTCAGACAAATGATCACTTGGAGCAATTGTCTGGTAGCCGAAGGCTTTACAGAAAACGGCTCAGGTGAAGCTCTCTAGCTTACACAAGCGGGTTTGTCTGGCCATCAGTGATGCCATCAATACCACACCGTCAGCGGTCATTGAGATCCTTCCAGATCTACCTCTTTTCCACATTTTTCTGGAGAGAGAGGCTAGATGGATTGCATATAGACTTGTGCACATTGCCAATTGCACAAATCAATTCAATGCAGAGTGCAACAGATTGTTGGTTGACACTGGAAGTCACAGCATTCTGTAAATAGCCTCAGACTTCATGCCTCCAACTGTCAACTACGAACTGCCTTTTAAAGTACTGTTCCCGAATAGAGAGGACTGGATTCTACGGAAGAAGGAAATATCAAGAGCAGATAGTTGTCGGTTCACATATGGATCAAAGACACCTTTAGGTTCTGGTGCAGGTGTTTTCAGTCGCAGACCCAGGACCGAGATATCAACCTGCGTAGTAATCTATGCGACTGTATTTCAAACGGAAATTTACGGTAATGAATTGTGTGCGGAGAGAATGGAAGAATCCAAACTCATACAGTCATACAGTCAGTAAAAATATTCTCGGACAGTCAAGTGGCATTGAAAGCTCTTGGCATCTGCCGAGCAATGTCTAAGGACTATTGGGCAAGTGCTCCAGAACTTCATGATACTTACATAAGTTCAATTATGACCTTGGAAAAATTCAGTTGGCTCTTGTCACATCTAAATATGAACGATAATTCTATAATTCCTTCACGTGATTCACCATTGTATGATAAACTTTATAAAGTACGCCCAATGTTGGATCACCCCACACAAAAATTGGAAGAGTGTCTGCTGCCCAGTAAATAATTAGCCCTAGATGAATCTATGATTAAATTCAAGGATAGGAGTACGATGAAGCAGTACATGCCCAAAAAACCCATCAAGAGAGAGTGCAAAGTATGGTTGCTCTGTGATAAATCAGGGTATTGCTTGAAATTTGATATCTATACCGAAAAATCCTCCACAGGGGATGTGGAAAAATGTTTGGGGTTCAGAGTGGTCAAGAAACTGACAGAGGGCTTTTCGGGAAAGAATCACCTATTGTTTTTCGACAACTTTTTCAATAGTGTTGAACTCATGGAATATTTGAAAGAAAGAGGGATATATACTGTTGGAACTGTGAACATCTCACGCCGTCACATGCCTATCTTCAAAACAGATAAGCAACTGAACCGAGGTAAATTTGACTGGTACACCAGTGACAAAGAACTGCTTGCCATGAAATAGAAGGATAAGGGACCTGTTCATCTTCTTTCTAACTACCACAAACCAGAAAGCATCACTGAAGTAGATCGTAGGGAGAGAAGCGGAAATGTAGTAATGGTGCCCACAAGCTGTGGTTAAATACATTCTCGATGCTTGTGTTGTGAATTCTTATTATCTCTACAAGCTAATAAACTTACCCAAAACAAGTTCGAAAGCATTTAGAAGAGCAATTATAGGTGGACTTACGGCTTCACCGTTAGCATCCTCAAACAGGGTCAAGTCTTCTTCTAGAAGAGCAAGCTCAAATGTACCTCAATTGGAGATAAAAAAATCGAAACCTTATGTTCCGAAAGAGATTCGGTAGACATCATCGATGCATCAGCCCGAACGTACTTCAAGGAGTAGGTGTGCTGTATGTAGCACAAAAGCACACCCCGTGCGTACCGATTGGAAGTGCTCCACATGCGGCGTTCCTCTTTTTTTTAGGAAGGAAAAAACCTGTTTCCAAACTTATCACTCACATTAGTTCATCTTTCCTATATTCCACTTTACTTTCTAATTAAAAGTATCATTTTATTATTATATTGCCTTTTTTTAAAAGCTGGAACGGTGGTCCAAATAATAAACCTCCACTTTTTGTGAAAAAAGATGATTTTATTTTTTATTTTCTAGATTAAATATGATTTTTGTATAGACAAAAATGGAATGATACCGCAATCATATAATTAGAGTGAGAAAAAAATTTGGGTTCCACTTGGGTTCAAATTTCATGATAATTCTGAAGCCAGTAAGAGTTAACTGAATATTTATTGTTTACAGGTATTTCTGACGTTTACAAGGAATCAGAAAGAAACGTCTTGAAGTTCTGCCATACGAGTATTACCTCACTAAGGAAGATTGCTTTAGCCCTCAGGATGTGCCCACAAAGTTGAATTTTGATCATTCGTCCTTGAATCATACAAAACAATCGGTGAAATTCGAAAGTTGATAAACCGAATGTCAATTTATTAACCAAGACTTTTGATGCAGTTACATTTACAGTACCAGTTACTTAGAACAACTCACTTTTCAGACTTTACATACAAATAAATCATTTATCGCAAATATATTTGAAAAATCTGCGATGTGGAATACATTGCTGTTTATGAATTGTCATACGTTTTTCTCAAAAATATATTTTTTGTCCACCGTTATCAGAGGTTTTTGTTACATACAACTTTTAGACATTAAACTTTAGAAAATCAAAAACATTTCAAATTATGACATGACATAACTTTTTTGCTATTTTGAAAATACAATAATTTGCTGAATATTATTGTACAAGTGAAGTATTTGTTTGTTTCAACTGTGGAATGATATGATATGATGAATTGCATGTAAGATAAGATTTTTTTGTATTGGTATAAGCGATGTTCAGATTATTTCAGTTGTGATTGTTGATCTTTTGAAATTGAAGTATCATGTTATGTTCATTGCCAATTACTACGCAATTTTTTCTTTACCATATTGTATTGTATGGTAAGGAATCATATTCACAGTAATTTTATATATTTATGAAGGTGGATCCCAAGGTTTACCAAAGTTTAAATTCATTATTTGTTCATCAGACGATAAACTATGATAAGGTATCTATTGTGGAGTTGAATTTGTATGTGTACTCTTTCACCGTACCCAGTAAGGACCTCATGATATTACAAAATAGATTTACTCACCACTGGAATGAGAAGATGGAAAAAAAACGTAATTATGATTATTATGTTGTCATACTGATTCAATATTACTAAATCAGTCCTGAAAATAAGTGATTAAATAATACAGAATGTAAAGTAAACAATAAGAACTTAAATATTACTAGAGTTTTTTCCCAACACCAAAGGTTTTGGGCTCCTCAGAACTTGAAAAAAAATCAAAGAACATGCCACAAAATTTTTAAGGCTTCTTTCATGAATATTTATATTACATACTCACAATTGATTATGTAATTTTATATACCTAAGGTACAGCTTCAAATATGATTACCTAAAGCATATTACATCAATTCTACATCAATAATTGTACTTAATCGGTTTTTAAAAAAACAAGTTTAGTATTGGTGAACCGATTAAACTCAGTTGGTCATTCAGTCATTCAATCTTTGAACATTTAGGTTCATTGATTTCCATTGCTTCCAAATGATTTAGCTTCAAACTCTCATTTTCTATGTTTGAAATTTCAAAATATCCGTTAAAGATATGTTTTTCTTCAAAAAAATGATCTGGAAATGTTGAACTTGTTTTCTTATTTACATAGGTGAACCGATTAAACTCAGTTGGTCATTCAGTCATTCAATCTTTGAACATTTAGGTTCCTTAATTTCCATTGCTTCCAAATGATTTAGCTTCAAACTCTCATTTTCTATGTTTAAAATTTCAAAATATCCGTTGAAGATATGTTTTTCTTCAAAAAGATAATCTGGAAATGTTGAACTTGTTTTCTTATTTACATAGCTCATATGACGTTCCTGGTTACGATCCCCAAATGTTCTGCCAGTTTGGCCAATATATACCTTAGGAAATAGATTTGTTTACTGCCTGTCTTCAAGCATAGCCCATTGACTGAAATTGCAGTTGGAGTTAACATGTTGAATTCTCTATCATAAACATGTAATGTTTCTTGAGAATAAATCATCACTATCACTAAGAAAAATAGCAAAAATGTTTGGAATCGCTTTTTCGTAAACTTTTTTGTAAAGAATTTTGTCTATTGATCCAATTGAAAATCCGTTATTCACTGCAATTTTCTTGATGATATTAAGTCCAGAAATATATATTTTTTGATCCATTCTGGTTCGCCATTTCCAAAATTTACGAAAAAATTGGATGGTATGAGCCAACCGACATGACGGCATCCTCAGCAACTTCTTTGATAGTGATTCGACGATTCTCCATAACAATTTCCTTCACTTTCTTAACATTTTCATCTGTTGTCGATGTGCTGGAGTGCCAGGCCGATTGTCGTCATTCACATCTTCCCGACCTTCTAGGAGAAGCTAATATCACTTGTAAACATTTTTCTGACTCAGAGAACAACCACCATATGCCACTGTCAACATTTCAAGTGTTTTCCACACAAAATTTGACGCAAATTCCCTGATCCATTTTTTTCGATAACAGAAAATCGCTGAACACGCAAAACATGTAACTTTTATGCTTCTTGTCAACAAACTAAACATTCTAAGCAGCTGAAACTGTGAGAATATGTTCGAGATGAGTGTACCAACATAAAAACATAAAAAATCGCCTAACAAATGTACGTAGTCCGGAAAATTTGCCGGACTACGTACATTTGATTTAACTTCTAGTTTCGAAAATGCTTCACCAAAAGATATATTGCCAATACCTGCAGTTCAAATGAACGAACAAAGGAAAAAATATCGAAAAGGTAAATAAACTCCATATAAAAAGGAACTTGAAGCTTCAAAATTGTCAAAGAACGTTCCGGCTAAAAGAAGTGAATCATCAAAGGACGTTCCAGCTAAAAATAGTAAATCGTCCAAGAACATTACTACCAAAAATAGTAAACTTCAGAAAAAGACCAGGCCATCAACTTCAGGACAAGAAGATAGCATTTGTTTTTATTGCAATGATACAAACCACACTCACCTGAAATCTACCGAAAATTGGGTAAAATGTCAACTCTGTGAGCGATGGGCTCATACTGCATGTGCGGGGGTGGATGATGAAAACTTAAGAGAAAGTACTCATATGCACGTTCTGTGAAAATGAATAAGAAACCCATCTTGCCCCCTTAACCCCATCATGCCCCATTTATCATTCCCTATCATACCCCACATACGGGACAGACGGGTTTTTATGGTCTCTTGAATAATAATAATTATTATAAATTTGTGATAACATTACCGTCCAAAGACTATGCCAAATTGTAGTTGATTAAGAAACTAAAGTGCCATTGATGAATGAAAAGATTATGTCGATTTTTACTGTAGTTTCTTATTGTTTTCCCTTAGCGTCCCCATCATACCCCTAATTCCCCTACTCGACATCTTCAGCTAATTTTCTTTATGTTCCTTTAAGCTATACCTGACGATCTGATCTATACAATCTTTATTTTCAAAAAATATATCAAATATATACAATTTTTTCGAAAATTTTGGAAATGGCGATCTAGATTTGCTCAAAAGGGTCATAACCGGTGACAAATTATGGGTACATGGTTATGACTCGAAACCAAAGTGTTATCGTTCGAATAAAAGATCCCAGGAAAGACAAGACCAAAAAAACACGCCAGGTTCGATCAAATGTCAAGGTTTTACTTACTGTTTTCTTCGATTACCGTGGCGTAGTGCAATACAAGTTTTTGCCACATGGTAGTACAGTCAATAAAGGGTAGTATTTTGGAGGTATGCGCCGCTTGCGAGAAACAATACGAAGAAAACGTTCGGTATTGTGGAAAAACAATTCATTGCTTTCACATCACAATAATTCACCTGCTCACTCATCATAGCTTGTTCGTAATTTTTTGACCGGAAACAACATCGTAATCACGCTTCAGCCACCGTATTCACCAGATTTTCCCCTCTGCGACTTTTTTCTGTTTCCAAGATCGAAGATACCCATGAAAGAGAATTGGAAAAAACGCTGGCACAAGTGTATTATATTTAAAGGGGACTACTTTGAAGGGGACAAAATAGAAATTGATGAATAAATAAATATTTTCTGTGAGAAATGAAAAAATTCATCTCCTATTTTGAACAGACAGCGTAAATGATATCTCAGTCTGTTTTATTGGTGAGACATTATCTAAGTGGATGATATCATTTACCTTCATGCTATCTCGAGTGACATTCCTCTGTTTAACTGGTATTCCACTATCAGACAGTAAGTTTTAGAAACAACTGAATTTCATCAAATATATTTTTGTTAATCACGATTGCAAGGTAGATAATACCGATTCCATTATCTCCTAAAATAAACTACGAAAACAAGCCACTAATCAGGTCTATCCCATTTCAAGAAACGATAATCAGCGTCTTAGGATATTGACATACTCCGGTGATTCCACGAATAACTTGAGTGGATAATTGAGTAAAATCAATAAAAAACAATAAAGACAAATCCCAAGTGTTGGTTAGATCAGGAGTATATAAGTTGACTTGTGGTTCTTTCCCAAATCTTCATATTGGCCAAACGGGAAAACCTTCTTTCAAAGAATAAGAGAACACAAGACTTGTTTTCTGAATGCTAAGAGCAATTTCACATTTGCAAACCATTTTTCAGCAGAGGGGCTGAAGTTGGAAGCGAGAAATTTGAACTCAATGTTCTGAAATGTCTGGATGACAATAGTTTTGAGGATTCTGGAAATATACTGAATGATCGAATATAATATATTCCTTTACCTCTTCAGAATCTGTTTTCTGATGTGAAAATTTATAATAAGTTTATAACATGTCCATTTGATCAGTTGGCAAAAATTTTCTTTTGTAATGTTTAAATTTCTAATCAGTTTTCACGTGATCTTAAGTAAAATTATCAGTCATCAAGTAGGTAGCTCATATGATTCAAATTGTTTTATATGTAGCAGTATTCAAACAGAATTTCTCCAGGATGAACACACCTGATGGAGTTATTGTATAGTGAAACACGTGTTGTGGTTTCGTGAACTTTCCAGTGAAAATCTCACAATATCACGAGTGTTATTTGCAGTGGCGGCGCAAGACCTGAATTCAATGTGAGCAAGGTACATTTGGCGAGTCCCTCTGATGGTGCAAGAAGAAGGATTTATAAATCAAAAAGAAACACTTGGAATTGAACAATTTTTTAATCATTAAGAAATACTTACGAACATTTTTACTTATGTACTTTTTTGGAACATTAAACAAGAAACTCAGAATTAACGAAAAAAAGATAAGAAAGTAATAAAAAACATCTAGGTCGCCGTGTTAAAACCCCAGTCGAGTGACACTCCGGCTATTTACCCGCTTCATTTTAGTTGAAAAAACTTTTTTTTTTATTTTTGCTGAACCAGATTTGCATTTTCTCCCATTATCCCTCTTAGTGCCCAATATTGTATCCGTTTCCCATAAAAAAAATAATATTTGTGGTACTTGTTTCTTTCCTTTAGTATAATCAACTTATAATAAGTGGACTAATACATTTGAATAAACATTGGATGAATATAATATATGAATCTATCACTTTGTATACATTTCACTAACGTAATATATGTTGAATAAAATATACTACGCATAATGACAGAAAAAGAAGGTGGATTCTAGAGCAACAAAGTGAAGATATATGAAACAGGTAATGTATTGAATATTACTGGAGTTTTTCCCTACACCAAACCGTTATTTTAACACCTCGATACGGGCTTCGATTACCAACTGTTCATCTTCAAGAGGAAGATCAAACTAAAGTTGTTATTATTTTTCTTCACGACACACTCCAAATCACTACTTATTAAACACGTGCTGTCGTTTTTAAACTATGTAACACTATTATTTATTCTCACAACGAATACTTTTAGGAATTATGATAGAGGAACATGAAGCGAGACTGCGTTTGAATGCGATACTTTGATTGGCTTTCTATCACGGGGAAGTCCCGAGGTCTTTGACCGGGGATTTCCAGTGATAGCAGCTTAACGCCTTATAACATTGCCAGACTGAACAAAAACGATTGATCACAAACGACAAATATGACAATTTTTTATCGATCAATTTCATAATATAGTTTATCAGAAAATAAATATATTCACGAATTTTTCATGCATATGCTTTCGTGCGCCGAAGTGTGAAATACTCGTATCTTAAGATTGATAATTTTCTGATGGCGTATACTTACTTAC